CAAACAAGTCGCTTTTCCGGTCACAAAGATTACCAATACTTGTTTTATCTAATTATACCGCACAAGGCACATATTGATCGTCTAGCAAGTATCGCAATAACATATCAGTGTTTATTTTGTTTTTGAAGTTATAATATTTTAATTATTATTATTATTATATTAGGCGGAATAGGTAGGCCTATGTTTAGTAGTGGACTTTAATGGTCTGCAACGATAGTGAGAATATGTCAGCGATTTGTCAGCTTCGTGGCGCAGTGGCTTTGCAATGATATGTGGCGCCGGGGACCACGGGTTCAAATCCCACGCGGAAAGTTTTTCTACGGACTAAAAATAATTATGCCGGGTCTGTTCTATGTTCTATAAAAGTAACCTGCTGAACATAGCTTGTTGTATAAATCTTTTCATGCGGCATCGTTCAAACGCTTGTTCTGGAATCATTTTCTGCCGTTGCAGGAGTAGTTTTTGGATTTCCATTTGTTTATATCCTTAAATTCTAAATATTCCCTCCTGTTTATTTCAAATATTTAATATATATATATACATATATATATATATATATATATATATATATATATATATATATATATATATATATATATATATATATATATATATATATATATATATATATATAATAATAATACATAATTATGTTTACAATATGTATCGTAGTATGTAATAGTAGTCATAGATATTTTTAACTCAGTTGCACTTTGCACCAACAATATCTTCTCTGCTTAGCCTGGAGGTAGACTGATAGAGAATCCCTTGTTGCATTAAGTCCGCCTTTTTGTACTTGTTGTGCAATATAAGACCACACAGTTTAAAGAATATTAGTAATGTTAATTAATAGGATTACTAAATAAAATAGGCTTGGCTTGCCATATAAATTGCGTCTTAAGGGGCAATTTGCCGTAATTGCCACGCGCAGTGGGATAGTTGGCACTTGGCAACCGTAGTTTTTAATTATTTTGAGGTATTATCAGGAAGATGCTACTTCCCCAGTCGCCTCATACAACACTCACAGGATGGTCTGTTGTTGAAATGGATAGCAGCTTAACTATTTCACTGTATGGGTTGTTTTGCACTCGCCAACCTGCCTGACCACCATGTTGAGTCTGCAGGCAAATCTCTCAAGAAAGGTGTCTTGTGGCGTATACTTAAAAAGACCAGACCAATACTAGAGACCAGAGCAGACTATAGATCCCGGTAGTGAATTCGATAGTAATATTTTTTCTTCTGTAGTAGATTCTCGATGGCAAATATTGGCATAGAATCTAGTAGTGTATAGGCCAAGGAAATGTTACCTTATCCTAAAACCCTCTTAGAAATGAGAGGAGCCATGTGTCCAGCTGTGGGACGTATATAGGCTGTAACTTTAACTGTTAGTGTATTCTATATTTTTGATGCTATCAAAGGCAAAATTTCTATGTTAATTGTATTTTAATTTTCGGTAATGTCTTAAAATTATGAGTTGGTTGTTCCTATGTCTATCTTGATAAATATTAATGGTTTTATCTATGTACCTATATCTCAACTGACTTGCTTTTTTTACATTAAAGTTAAATTAAAAATTTTGCTTTGATATCACATAGTTCCGTCGTAGTTCAGGGGAGTGTTTGCGCTCGCCGTAAATATAGTACGAAAGTAACCCGAGTTCGTGGACAACAATGAAATTGTTAATTGCAGTTAAGTGCTGATTTAATACGTTCTCGGTGGTAAAGTGTATCTGAGAAATTAAAAAAATATTTTGAATACGTATTTCTTCTCCAAGTCATACTCATTCTCTTACTTCGCTAAGAACATACAATCACTATTCCTAAATCATTTTCATCATTTCACTTCAATCATTTTAGTGCTAGATGTTAACATCAAAAAGTTATAATCAAGTTACATTATTATACTTTTCTAGTATACTCGACACTAGAAATGTAAAAATTGTTCAATATACATTATTCAAGTAAGTGAACGCTGTCACAGGATCTGCTTGCACCTCCTTTGAAAAACTATGCTTTACACACCGTCGTCACATCCGTGCGTAATGCGATCGTTTATATGCTTATATAAATATATTTTCATGTAAAATAGTTGCCTATAGCAATAGGTTTAATGTATTGGTTGCAATATAAAACGGACGGAACTGAGCATATTGAAGAAATTCCTTAGGTATATTGTCTAGACTAGCGGGCGACCCTAACCTAACTAACATCGTATGCGTGAAATTTTGGAAATACAAGTTAACTTAAATCTTTATTTTAATTTAGTTAAACAGCTGTTTTTGCAATCTCATACATCATTGATATACCTACGTCCTGGTGGTTTCTGAGTACTTTGTGAAAATGACAAAAATTTAGGTTCATAGCTCATTTATTACTTAAACGACTTTAACTTTATATTTAACCACAAAACTTTCAATAACTATCAGAAAACATTCAGGATAAGATAATTTTCATGACGTGATAGCAAATTCTTTAATACAAGACATAAAATTAACTTAAATGGGTAATATTAATTTAAAATACATATATGTATAGTATATATACTGTATGCAAAATGGACTAATTATTATGTGATACAAGAAGTGTAAATTCAGTTAAAATTTTATATTGTTTATGTAAAAATACCCGCCGGTTTGATGACCTTTCGGTCTCCACGCTGATATTAACATTTTTAACGCTCGGCGTTCACCAGCGACGTACATATTATAGTTATCATCTCAGTAGTGGAAGCATATGTTCGTTTTTTTTTCGTGTGGAAATCACTTGTAAAAACTAAAGTATTAGTCCAATGGCATGGAATAGATACTGTTTCAGTCGAGATAAATACAAACAAAAACCTTTTTATTCAGTATAGATTATAAATCCTAATATTTATTGAGTCACTCTTTTGTTTAACTACCAGTGGTTCGAAAGAAAACCTCTGTTCTAGAAAAAACCAGCAAAAAACAGTGGTACTTTAAAAAAATATAATAGCTTACATGCTAACAATACATGTTAACAATTTTAAACAGAAAACAAATTAGACTATTTCTTCTCTTCTATTCTTGGTAGCGAACACCCCATTCACAGGGATTGAATAAAACTATACGAATTTTATCGTGTTCTATTAACTTATTTTTAATTCCCGACGTTTCGGATGCTTTACAGCACCCATGGTCACGGGAGGTCTGAGATGTTTGACGTCCCAATGTCATAGTTAGCGCCGCTACCTTCAGTTTTTGAATTTAAATTTTTTGGTCCGCTGTACGCAGAACGACCATTTCATTATTTCATTGGTTATTATCATCCATAAATTCCATAATATTATAATAACCCTTAGACAGAGATTAGATTTTGTTTAATAAAGTTTGCAAATACATACAATCATGATTATAGGTAATTTCGAAAGGATTTATAATTTGACATTAACGACAAACATAAACTGAAGTTTCAATACGTACACTTTTAAAGCTTTCTTTTTTGTTAATACGAGTGAACATAGAGCGCCGCGGAATTTGTTTTAGAACTTTTTGAGAAGAATAATTCCACCGTACATTATTTTCATATAACTTTATCGATTCACGCAATGTAAGCTTTTAGGAGGCACGATATTTTCCGACTTAATCGACAAATGCCACCATAGCCAACGTAGCCAAATTTGCAAAAATATTCATATATTATATACCTAAACCTTCCTCATGAACCAGTCTGTCTATTGTAGAAAAACGTATGAAAATCCCTATGATAATTTTAGAGATTCGCGCCAACATACAGACGCTGTTACTTTTAGCGTTACAGTCTATTAAAGTCCACTGCTGAACAAAGGCCTCTCTCGTAGATTGCCTCATATGGGCTACATTTTCATAGTTGCCACGCTAGGCAAGTGGGTTGGCAACTGCAGTTTTTTATTTTTGACCGTTATTAAGAAGTCTCTGCTGCATTTCTTCAGATTTGTTTTCCTCAGTCGCTTCTTACGACATCCACGAGACGATATAGGGTAGTCGATGTTCTTATACCGCCACTACATGGAAATAGATAGCTAATATATAGATATAATTGATAGTAAAGATAGAAGCTGCAAGGCCCGTGTTGCTCGCGTACTGTGAAATTTAACGGCGGGCATCTCTTGCCACCGCGGCTCTTTAACCCTGTCAGGAATAAGAATATAACCCAGCATTGGAACATATATAGGCTGTAACTTTAACTTTTAATTTTTTCATAAAAAATTAAAATTTGCAGAAGAGCTAAGTATCGGTCAAAATGGATATATTTTTGTTTACGTAAATGACAAATGACAAACGAGCACATAGACATTAATATCGAAGATGAAGTATTAATATGCAGATGTATTTTCATCCCTGAGAACTAAGATGTAACATTTTGTTAACAGATAAAAAACTTTCCGTTTCTCTATACTCTCAATACGAAACATAGTAGATTGATTCTGGATTTGACGCTGGTATTCTGTGACAACGTAGTAACTTTTGGGATCGAGCCGACCCTTCGCCTTCGTGCTGCAGCTGGTATACTGCTGAATCAAAATACAGATACGTTGTCACTCCTAAGCGATGAAATGGGATACCTCGTCGCTATTTAAAAATAGTAAAACTTTGTTGACATCAAAATGATATTCACTATAATAGTACATTGCGTATTCTATATAGCTTTTTTATAAGAGCTACCACGGCTCATAAAACATATTATGATGCAATGTACTACAAATTGAGAATTATTTTGATGTTAACAAAGTTAGCGAATAGACCTGTACATCCGCAACATCCAACGAAACATATCAGTATTGTGCTGCTTTTTTACGCTGGCGTTCTGTATTTCAAGTGGAGTTGGATCTTCCCCAATCAAGCCGACCCATTCGTTATACTGTCGTAACTCGTAATGCCTACTGTTGACGCTTTAACCACGTAAAATAGTAATAAAAATATTTAATATACTTATGAGAGATTTAATATGTTTAGTGTGATATAAATACTTTATAATTTTATTTATGATATTTTTCTTTCACAGGTGTAGCGTCAGCCCGCCAGTTGCCTAAAGAATGCTCTAAAGGGCCTTCCTATTGGTGTCAAAGCCTTAAGTGAGTTTCCATAACAGTCATTAGTGTTGCGTTATTATACTGTCAAAGTGTGGTCATTACGGTATCGCGGCAGTAAAATAATTTATCACTCTATGTCGATAAGGTTTCTAATAAATTTTTCACTAAAATATAAAAATCGCAATTTTGCTTGCACTATGTAATCAAATAGATCAATTAAATAATCTAGATCTAAATCTTTACGAGTTGGTGAATCTTTAGATTTAGGACTAATTTTTCAATCATCAGTTAAAGTTATCCATCAATTGAACAAATTGAACGATTTTACTCATGCTACTTTAATTTTTAATTTATGTTGTATATTATCCTTTGAATAACTTTTATCTGATGAGTGAAAAATCGGCCCCTTGAAATTTAAAAGAGAGTAATATGATATAATAGTATTACTCTCTTGATATTCTAGGTTATATAAGGTTAAAACCTGAAACAAGAAAGGCAGATTGTAATATTTTTTTAATTTTTTCGTTATTATATTATATATTACTATATAATATATTTTTTGCTTAGAATTGCATCCGATTGCGGCGCTGTCGGACACTGCATTGGCACAGTGTGGGAGAAGCAGGAACAGGAAATACGCAGAAACGATGTCTCCGAAAAATTCATCCGACTCTTCAGGCAGCTGAAGGATGTCAAGGATCTGATTAATGCGGTACGTGGTAACAATATAAAAAATTCAATTCGAAGAACTAAGTTTAGATTAAGTGGAGCAAAAGGGAGCAGTATTTCTAGAGCCTTTTCTCTCTCAAAACCTATTTGTATCATTTTTTATATCAGTACAATTTTTGCCGTGTAATAGCGATTTAACTGATTGCATTAAAATTTTGGCCGAAATGAATGATTTGTAATAAGCTGTTTCGACAAGTAATTGTTATCCTAAAACTTTCTATTTTACTAGTGTGAAAATCAAGTATTCGAATCGTTTGACGTTTCAACGTTGAGCGTAAATAATAAATATTGCAAGTCTTCTTAGTACGTCGAATCTGAATGAGATTCGCAACGTCATGTAAGGATTTAGCTAATCAGCAGTAAAAAAACTCGCCGTAGCATTTTGTGCAAAAAGAAATAAATATTATTTAATGAAATAGCCGTGGTAGCTCAGTGGTTAACGCTCGCTGTAAATATAACAGAACGCGAGTAACCCGGGTTCGATCCCCGCCGGCACCAATGAAATTGTTAATTGCAATTTTAAGTGCTGATTTACCACGTGCTCGGCGGTGAAGGAAAACATCGTGAGGAAACCTGCATGTCTGAGGAATAAGAAAAAAAATATTCCGAACACAACATGTGAAGTTCGTCAACACGCATTTGGGCAGCGCGGCGGACACTTCCTTGCCCTAAACCCTCTCAGAAATGAGGGGAGGCCTGAGCCCAGCAGTGGGACGTATATAGGCTGTAACTTTACTTTACTAATGAAATATTGTTATTAAAAGTTTGGTCACTATTATTTATTTTGTAGTTTGGTATACAGATTCTGAAATTCTCGGTTAGTCCATTTATATGTTTTGTTGATCTATTCGATAGTATCTCAATCATTATACGCGGAATACAATAGTAGTACTTATTGTATTATGTCACATGGACCATGTTTACAAAAAATGCCGGTGTGAAATAGCAGCTATCTGGCATAACAGTATTGTATTTATAATGGTGAGTGTGGAGAAGTGAGACGCCGGCCTAATTTTACCGGTAAGAAATGAATCGTACTTTTGGGGGCGTGGCGTACAGCTCTATACCGAACAAGCGCTCGGAAAAAGAAACTTAGTACTAAGCGCCAAACAACATTTTTTTTAAATAAAACTTTGTTATGGAAAACAAAATGGTTTATGGGAACTTAGGTATGATTATTTACTATACCTTAAAAATAATTTCATGAACTTAGTCGTAAAAATATTATGGTATCATGGAGAAATGTAACTAATTAGAGCCTAGGAAGCAATTTTTTTCTATAGATAAAATTACATGTTATCATCGTGTTTTTCTGAAATCTAAGGTTATAAAGTCAAAAATCATATATCAAAAATTTGGTTCGTAACCTATAAAACTTAAAAAAATATGTGAAATAGAAAAAAACACCAAATTTTCGAAGTCCTTAATCTTGGTTCGAAGAGATGACTACGCAACGTCATTTTGATTATTAATCGATAATCGATGTGGCGATGGCCATAGCTTTCACTTACTATCAGGTAGAATGTGTGCTCGTTTGTCATCCTTACTTGAAAAATATTTATAATTAATTAATACATTGAGCCGTTAACTTTCAGAAATCCATTGTATTAACGAGGTTAAAAATTATGCGTCCTACCTGTTTTGTTCTTCAAACTATGTAAGACAATTCATTTTATTTTATTGCGTGGACCTTAGCCAATTCATTTTTTCAAGAAATCGTTAATAATTATAATTCTTTAACTACTTTTTAAGCATTATCGATCATATAATATACTGGGCTTGCTACTATATCTATATAGGTATAAGGTATTAGGTATACAAATAAATAATTGCTTACATTTTGGACTCGTAACAGGAATATCTGTCAGCACGCATGAATACGGCGTGCCGTGATGTTTCCGACCCAGCTATTACTAAGTACTGTCGCGAGAACACCGCCTACCTGGAGGAGTACCTTGCAGCTCTGTTGTCATCCAATACTTCCCCTGAGACCATGTGCCGCGTCGTTGCCATGTGCAATAGCGACAAGTTGGACCATATCATGTCGATGAACGTAAGTATATCAATAAATAAAATGTCACAAGATATTTCAGATCGGTTTTCTTATAGCCAGCGCCGTAAGTAAAATAATTTGGGCATTTACACGTATTGTAGCCGGTAGAGATTAAAAGCTAATAAAACCATGTAAACCGTGGACTGTGTAGTGGTGGTGTGAGAACACTACCCCATATAAGGTCTACCCACACGTACCACAGCCACAACCACACTACAACCATAACCACAACACGTGGCCGGGCGCATTTTGTATTGGAAATGAATAGTACAATTTACATGTACCACATTTTGCCGGTGGTCCTTCACTGCTGGCCGTATGAGGACGCTCAAAGTCGCTCAGCGAGCTATGGAGAGGGCTATGCTCGGAGTTTCTCTGCGTGATAGACTTAGAAATGAGGATATCCGCAGTATAACCAGAGTGACCGACATAGCCCAACGGATTAGTAAGCTGAAGTGGCAATGGGCCGGCCATATAGCTCGAAGAACCGATAACCGATGGGGAAGAAAGGTTCTCGAGTGGCAGCCTCGTACCGGTAGACGAAGTGTGGGGCGACCCCCCACTAGATGGAGTGACGACCTGGTAAGACATGCAGGAAGTCGATGAATGCAGGTGGCTCAGGACCGTGCTTTGTGGCATACCTTGGGGGAGGCCTATGTTCAGCAGTGGACTTGTAAAGGGCTGTAATGATGATGATGACATTTTGCCGTCACTATCGACTGCGTGAGTGATACCGACCACAACGCAACCACGGCGCAACTACAACTATATAATAAAAAGAATATTAACAATGCTATAAACATTACTAATATTCCCCTTAACCACTCGTGGTAAGCTTATATTGCTTGTGTTATTTGGTTTACGCCAGTAGTCGAATGGTGGATTCGAACCCACGACCTTTTTGAGTTCGCGGTCCGCGCTCTTCCATTAGGCTACTGTCGCTTGCTAGACAACTCCAACTGCTACGGAACTAGCAGCCGGCCACATCACAAACACAACATTGCGTCGACGCCACGACCACCACACACCGTACACCCGCGTCCTAGGGCGGTTCTTACCGCCCAGACCATCGACCGACACGAGCTGAGCAGTCAGAGGGGGGGAGGGTCCGCACTCACCCCTTGGACAGCGGTTAAATAGCTCAATCACGCCTAAAAAGGCGACATGATGATTGGTAACAATACCAAACCATAAACCATTTCATCATCATCCTCACGTTCAATGCCTTTCCCTTTTTTTAATTAGCTCGCGACCTTGCAGTCGCGGCCCTGAGACAGATGAAACTGTAAGAGTCGCATAGACTAACAGCGAAAACATCCCGAAAATAGAAAATATACGTCACGACTAGGGTTGCAACGCAACTGCAAAAAGCTGCAGCGACACTATTCACACGTGACCACCTTTTGTCGCTGCGATGTGGTGTGCTGGTGGTACGTGTAGGCCGACCCGTAGTCGCGCGGATATCGTAAGAGGCGACTGAGGGAAACAAGCGACGGCGTCTTCCTAATTAACAATTATAAAATAAAGTAAAAAAAAAACTGATGTTGCCAACCCGAATGCCAAGCGTCACAACTATAGCAAGCATACTCATATTAGGAGGTATATGTAGCAGTGGACTTTGATAGGCTGGATTTTTTTTTAAATTTATTCTTATAAAAAGTGTACTTTATTTATATTTTAAATTTTGCCAAACTGTAAGCCAGTTTGTCGGCAACGCAACAGTTTATCGTTTCACACTCCTTAATAACAATGTCTGGTACTTTTAACTACTTAAATTAACACAAAATAATTAAAGAAACAGTCACCACTATGGACACAACGACAGATAATGTTTACTCAAGATGGATTCGAGCTGCGACTTAGTTATGCTTTCGTCATATACAACATGTAACATAATTAACGCACTTTGAGAAAGTAGTTTGTTCAGAATCATTTACTGAATCGATTCCTATCATTTTTAATATAGGTAAGTTTTTTATCCCAAAAATGATTAAAACTACGTAAATTACAGTCACACTAAATCTGTACAGTCAAAACAAACTGAAATGGCCGTAACTTAAGGCAATAAGACTTTTAAGAGTGCAGTTTTATTTGTATTATTACTAATTCTGTCATTCAATAAAAATAAGGCCGGAGAAAAATGAGCTACTTTATTTCAAGCACGTTAAAGTCTTTGCGTTTGGGATTTGTACTGTGACCACAACATTCTTCCGGAATTAGTATAACTAATTTGATAATAATCTGCATAAAAATGTTTAACTAAAAATCAGGTATGTATTATGATTATAACATAATATACTAACTGGGGTGTCTGATGGTGTGCGACTTAATTACGTTACATATTGTATATCCGTTGCCTCATTACACAAAGTTGGAGTTATCCATTGCCTTCTACGCTGTCCAAAGTAATTTTTAGCCCTAGGTATGAGATATGTCCTCCTTTGAGTAATTTGGCGCTTCGGCATTATATATGTCCTAGGTTCCTTAAATGTTACCATACAATACTGTTCTAATATGATAATTGATTTTACTTTCATGTCTATGGTAATAATTTTGCAAATTTTAAATAACGTTTCATATTTTTTATCTAGAGCAATTTTCATTTTAGTATCAACTAATATCTTTAAGAATGTTATCTGTATATAGAATGATGAATGATGATAATAAAATATTGTCTCCGTATCCATCACGCCATTTTGTATGTCCAGTCCAAGTCTTGTAGTTTCCGATAAATGGCGACATAACCATCTCTTTTACGCTAGACGTTACACACCCAGACCAGCTATGAGCAGCAGCGTAAAATATGCAGGGCGTCTGACACTGCAGTCTTCCACCAGCCTACCAAACGGGACGACTAAGGTGAATTCTTTCTATAACGGGAGAGGTATAGCTGTGTATTTTTACGAGCCGTAAGTCAGGGGTGGACGTTGCGATGACGAAACATTTACGAAGACCGTTTTGTGTTCTGCGACTATGAAACCGTTTTACGTCCTGGGTTCAAACAGCCTTCGTTGCACAAACCGGTCTTCGAATTACTTGATGCGATTTTTAATTTTACGCCTATGAAAATACAGTCGAGAACGCAATGTTTTATTGTAGTCTTTGCTTCTACATTCGTTTACAAACGTTAGTAAAGACGAAAATCGATGATAGCTGTAAGTAACTGCAACCATTTCACCCGATGAAAACGCAATTCTATTCCATGTTAGATAAATTTCATCCTTTAAGCCGTCTTCAAACTAGTTGCTATGACGACCGTTTTCGTCGCCGGGAAAACGGTTGCGTTTCGTTCATTAAAAATTCGTCAACGACCCACCGCTAGTAACAGTTACGGAAAAAACAGCTTTGCGCTATTTGAATCATCATTAACGATTAAAAAACTAACCTAAAATTTATTGTTCCAGAAAAAGAAATCGACTACAATTGACAAGTACGAAGGTGAGTAAATATTTGTATATACAACTGACTGTCGATTATAAATCAAAAGTTTGCAAAAACTTATTATATAGTATTGAGTGATAGCGCTGACAGCATTAAGTAATTAAATAGAACAATAACTGAAGACAGGAGTGGATGAATGGCATATGATGCAATTTGTAAATATATAAAAAATTGGCCATAAAGTTTAGTTACAAATTTTTCAGACATAACGTTTATTGGATTGTTTTTTTTTTAACTAATTATGCATTTAGGTGTCAACTATACGTAAACACTGATATGGAGAAAAAAAATATAAGTGTAAGAATATTAATTGGTCTCTCTGAACTCTCCAGCCATCGATTTATGTTTTTAAAAATTCAGCCAATATTTAATTATTAATGTATCGATATATACTATCAATATATATATATACATATACATTGCTGATAAATATATGTTCATGTATGTTTAAACAAGTTATATATTCGGATGTATATACTTTTTGTATGTGTTGCGCGATGTATTCGCCGATTTAAGACATTATTTCCTTTATTAAATAGGTCATTCTTCAAGGGTGGCCCTATTTAGGTAACTATGTATTTCCAAGGCATTCAAGTTGCTTGTGCATATTCCTTTATCAACCCAAGGAACGAGTGTTAGAAAAATCTTATAACTTCTGATGGCACGTTTAGATTATCGGACGAACAGCTCACCTAATTACTTACCGAGTTATTCGACACTTTACATCGCCTAGATTTTTTAAACATGGATGACGTACGTCTCGTTGCTACGACATTGTGTCTACTTAAATTTTGTATATAAAAGTACTTTCGCTCTTGTAAAATTTTTAATTTCAGCTTAACCGTGAACATACGTATATTTTTTTAAAATAAAGGTAATAGAGAAAATTATAACAGTATATTGGCTGAGTATACTAAGGCCGATGGAGATGCAAAGGTAAAACCTTTGCTAGCATCATAAACGGAGCGGAGTAAAAGTCTAAAGTCATAACTTGTAACATAACAAGTGTTTTAAATTAATTCTTTTCTCAATAATTATAATAAAAACGCGCGCTTTTGCTTTACTTATATTTTACCATAGACAATTTAGTTTTTGATTATTTTTTTAATATAAATACAAGGTTTGTAAACAATAAAAGTCTGAATTTGTCTAAATTCAGACTTTTATTGTTTACAAACCTTGTCTGCATTGAGCTACAAATATTGCCGAAAAAAATTATGTAAATTGGCCTACGGGTTACGGAGTAGATAGATTTCAAAGAATCGTTTTCTTGTGCGATAGAAGCTCCGCTCGCTTCGCTCGCTCCGCTGTAATTATAATGATAGTTCTCGGGTCAACTGAATAATGACCGATAAAGACCGATACAAATACATACACGAACCTTCCTTTGACTCGTGCTAGAAAACCAACATCGAGTAGGGAACAGGTGAATACTCGGGCCGATTAGCGAGCACATCCGATATATGTTCGTTCTCGTGCCTATTTTTCTTGTATACATTGTGGTATAACTGGCAACAATTAAAAGTGTAAAATGTTCCTACGGGTCGTTTGCTATTAAAATCTTCAATCCGTACAGAATGATTTAAGAGAAACTGTCAATTTTATTTTCTTAGCATCACTCTTATTCCGTTGTAATATTTGTTGTTGAGTACGCTATGCTTCTTATTGGGTGCGGTAATGTCTGCATTTAACGCTATAATTAGCTCACGATTAGACAAAAATGTACTATGTCTTTTGCTGAATATCGTTACGGTTCTTTTTCGTGGATTAATATCTATAAACTATCTAATTCTGCTTATACTGTTACAGGTAAACTTTTAGGCTCATCACGCTGTACTTGGGGACCATCTTATTGGTGCAGCAACTTCAGGTAACATTTTATGACTAGATAATTCTTGATGTATACACAGTTTTTGTTTTAGTTTAATCACTTATCATATGTTGATATTTATTTCATGACGACGCACTTCCTTTAAAAAAAAAAAAAGATTTTGTTATCGGTTTCCCGCTGCCTGTACTCTAAGTTCACTATTGTTTTTTAAATTTTATATAATAGTTTACCTTTGATAAGTAATTTCAACAACTGTTTACATAATATTTAAAAAAGCTTGTTATAATTTTAAGCGGGGTTAATTAAGTTAATTAAATATTAATAAATATTAATTTGAATATAAATATTTTTAAATCAGAGGTACCTATGAAAATAAGAGTATTTTAATTGTAATTGTGGTGCTATAAGATTTTTTTTATTCTTAGCTGTACTTAAGATGGATCAAATAAAAGAAAACACCAATATTTTTAAATTGTATTTTAAAATTCTGCATTCATTGCCGACTTACTATCCGATCTGACCTTTCGAAATTGGAACAACAGTTTGAGTCAAACGCGATTACTATGATTCTCGAAACTGTTCAAAAAAGACAATTTGCGTTAAGTCGGCTAGCAAACAATGATCATATTGTTGCATAACATCACTATTGTTAAACCGGTAAAACGATGCAATAATATTTTTGCGGACCGACGCGACGTACTGCTTGGGTTCCTTTTGTTTTGTTGTCTATTTGACAGTCATTTTTAAGTTATCTTTATAATTAAGTCGTTTTATTTAATTGACACAATTTTCGAAGCTTAATACAGTTTCAGAATAGTATGTGCTAATGACAAACTGTTGCCTACATTATTGCAAAACAAAATGCTGTCGGATACTTTGACTTTTACTGTTGAGTTCTTGCTATGTTAAATAAATAAACCTTTGTTTCACAATTTCTATCTTCGAAAAGATGTTAAAATTTCTCAACGGATCTAATATTTTAATATTTCAAATTAATATATATTTTTAGTATTACCATACAATTAATGCATAGCTACCTCTCCTTTTATATATTGTCGTGTTTTTAAACAGTGCTCTCTTTGTTAAGAACTGTTGTCCACAACGTAAAATAAATAAACCTTTGTTTCACAATTTCTATCTTCGAAAAGATGTCTTGACAGACCTAATATTTTAATGTTTCAAATTAATATATATTTTTAGTATTACCATACAATTAATGCATAGCTACCTCTCCTTTTATATATTGTCGTGTTTTTAAACAGTGCTCTCTTTGTTAAGAACTGTTGTCCACAACGTAAAATAAATAAACCTTTGTTTCACAATTTCTATCTTCGAAAAGATGTTAAAATTTCTCAACGGATCTAATATTTTAATATTTCAAATTAATATATATTTTTAGTATTACCGTACAATTAATGCATAGCTACCTCTCCTTTTATATATTGTCGTGTTTTTAAAAAGTGCTCTCTTTGTTAATAACTGTTGTCCACAACGTAAAATAAATAAACCTTTGTTTCACAATTTCTATCTTCGAAAAGATGTCTTGACGGACCTAATATTTTAATGTTTCAAATTTGATATTTTTTGTATTACCATTCAATTAATAGTTAGCTACCTCTCCTTTTGGTAATATTATGTCGTGTTTTTAAACAGTGTTCTCTTAACAGTCCACAACTCAACATAGGCCTGACTCTATTTACGATACGAAAATTCCTATTTATTTGTTTATTCCTGCTTTGCTAACCGCAGTTGCGTTTACTTGGAATTCAGGCTAACAATCTACATTTCAGTGGTTTTGGCCATAATGAGTCAGTCTGTTAGTCAGAACAAAATGTAGATAAACAGTTTTACGTGTGAAACAAATTGTTATATTTTTTATCAACTTATACAGCGCAGTGTGCAACATATCAACGAAATTTTCACAGGTTTTGATTAGAAATTTTTAGTGTTTTTTCGCCATTGATACAGTTGTTGATATTTTGAGAGATATTTCGCATGTAGGCTTAACTTACATCATTCACTTATTTATTCTCTGGACATGTAGAAAGAATGAATGAGGAAAAAGTGAAGCAGAGTGGCATAGTCGGCAAGGGACGCCCTAGACGGAAGTTATTCGCCTAAATTGGTGATATGATAAAGATGGGCCGAATTAAGGGTACCTTTGAACGATGAGCATGTATGCGTAGGTTTATGGATGTGAAGTAGGCGAGAGAGTTCTGTTATTTTCGTGTCATATGAAAGTCCATAGTTTCTGCCTACCCCTCTGGATGACAGGCGTGAGAGATTATTTTTTTATCAATTCATCTCGGAGGTTTCGTTTTACTACAGGGTCGCGGGTTTGAAACCCGAACGGGGCATGTGTTTGTATGGCTTATAAATCCACGTATGAATGCGTGTCCTTGTGCAATTTATGTGTTTAAACCGCCTTCACGAAATAGGGAGAAAATCATACTGTAATGCTAACATTTTTAACAAAAAAAAAAAGAATCTGTGAGACAGTATTTAATGAGGTTTCAATTGTTCGTATAGCACTGGACGGGAATGCAAAGCAACACACCACTGCGTGAGCCGGGTGTGGCCTCGCGTCGACTTCCCGCAAGACAACGACGGCATCTGCAAGATCTGTACGGATATGGTGAAACAAGCCCGCGACCAGCTGCAGAGCAACGAAACTCAGGTAACTACTACTAACGTCATTAATAATATAGAAGCAGACGGTGACGCAGTGGCTAGGCTGTGGTTTTCCGGGTCGCAGGTTGTATTTCCACATATAGAAAGAATTTGTATAGTCTAAAAGTCATTGGTTGCTAAACACCATTATTAATAAATACTACATCATTTAATTAGCATTAAGTACATTTAGTCTTAAAGCTTGATCGATTTTCTATAAGTTAAAACAAGTTTATAGTTTTTAAATACACACATACAAAAAAAGATAATTATTTGACTGTAAAAACTATGACGCCATGAGTTTTCATAATTTTTTATGAAAATGTTTGTTTTGACAGCTTTTAAAAAGTATCTCAATTGACTAGCGTCAAATACTCAATTTCAAATGTGCGAGGTCCAGTTTGAGTCCACATGAGAACAACTACACTCCACGCAGAGAGACTTTAATAAGACGTTAATCGATGTCACTCGTATGCGTTATTGGAAGAACGTCCCGAAGGCAGTAGCTGCTTCTAGCGCCCTCGCAATGCTATCATTATGTCTCGAGACCACTTTCAAGTCACCGGGGCCCCCATCCGGAACGCCTCCAACCCTAGAGTATTCCTAAGTACACTATACGGCGAAACCTTACCTACACATATTATGTGTGTTTTTTTATAGAATGAAGAGTGCTAAACGAGCACACAGTCCGCCTGATGGTCACTCACTATGATATAAGATTTACAATGCAGATCACAGCGAAACAAAAATCAAAGCGTTGTCAACCCTGACAACTTAGATGGCCTCATTGTATGTTAGTCCTCAGGGATGACAACGCATCTGCATTTTGATTCTTAGTCGATGTAGTTCATGAACTTCAGCATCCAATTATCACCACGTGAACTGTGTGCTCATTTGTTAACCTTGTTCCATAAAAAAAGACGTGTTTATGTTTGTATGTTTGACTGCTATTCAACGCTAATATTTAGAACATTTTAACCAAGTCTATCTCTAAATTTATGGCGCGTTACATCGGATATTATTATTCATTTTTATTTTTCTGCTATCACTATTTTTATCTTAGTAATTTGGTACAAAACAAATGACTTATGTTCGAAGTAAGTCATAAAATTAATCATGTTTGAAATATGTAGAAAACGTCGGAAACATTATTATTTAAAGTATAAAATTGTGTTATTGTAAATGGAAGTGATTACGTTATTATGATTAAGTGACGCTATCATAATATTTATAGATATTTGTTTTTGAACATGGTCTATACGTATTGAACAAGTGTGTATGAAAACCTATATGACTAATTAAACAACAAAACAAAAGTTTATTCAATTTGCGTTACCAAATGTGAAGCCTCGGATTCAGGTGAAGGTTCGAGTCCTAATTCGAAATCTTTGATTATAGACAATTATATAATTAAAGTTGGAAATCAATCTAATGGATTTTTACATTTACGCGAATATCACCCATTAAAAAAATAGTTTTATAGACCGTATCGTGTTTTATTATAACTATTTTAGCCGAATATCAAAAATAAAAAAATACCGGCCAAGAGCGTGTCGGGCCACGCTCAGTGTAGGGTTCCGTAGTTTCCCGTCCGTCACAATAAGAGTTCCCACTTATGAGTTTAAAGGTGGGTATCCATTATGTTCGCGCTCCAGCAGCGCTCCGCGCTCCTGCAACTGCTCCCGGTAGTGGGTACGTCCGCGAACATGGAGCGTGCAACATTGCACGCTCCGCGGCAGGCGATGCCAAGGAGAGACCAACCGAACAATTCGATAATACCCGACCCAATGTAATAAGTACCTACAGCGTCATCTCTCGGGGAATTGGGTTACTAATTAATACATAGACGTGCCAGAAGTTTTCGGTGGTAATTTTGGATTGCAAGAACCGATTTTAATAATTCTTTTTTTTTGTTTGAAAAAAAGATACGTTCAGGATAATAAAATATGTAAACGAAGTTAAAAAAAATGCTTGCATATACGATTATATTACAAACTTAGTCCAGAAATTATTTTGTACAACTTTTTGTCTTTTGTACAAAAACTGTTGCCATCCAAGTTCAAAATGATTTTCCTAGAAAGTCCTTATAAAGTTCTACTTTTCAGATTTTTTTCATATTTTCTAAACCTATGGTTCAAAAGTTAGAGGGGGGGACACACATTGTTTTTTACTTTTGGAGCGATTATTTCCGAAATTATTGACATTATCAAAAAAATGATTTTAGTAAACCCCTATTCATTTTTAAATACCTTTCCAACAATATATCACACGTTAGGGTTGAAATTAAAAAAAAATCACTTCCCACTTTACATATAGGGGGGCTACCCTAATAAAACATTTTTTTCCAATTTTTATTTTACCACTTTGTCGGCGTGGTTGATACACATATTGGTACCAAATTTCAGCTTTCTAGTGCTAACGGTCACAGAGATTAAGCGAGGACGGACAGACGGACAGACAGACATGGCGAAACTATAAGGGTTCCTAGTTGACTACGGAACCCTAAAAAAGAGGATCTCAATTCAAGTATGTTACTCTATGTCTCCGTCAATGATTAACTGATTTTAATTATTATTTTCTATTAAATAGTTTATACTTCGGGGGTTGTCTCATATAATTATATATTTCATACCTATTATTTAATGTGATAAAAAGTTCCACTTTCAAGAATGGAAAATTTTCATTTCAAATTTTGGGAAAAATACATTCGAGTTTTTTTTATTCCTCAGTGTCTATTCAAGTCTAATTTTTATTAACATTTTTGATTCTCCACGCTTCGAGCACTTTACAGCACTCATGGTCAAGGATTGATCGAAATCAGTATGCTTGCAATTTATAAATAATTCGTTTTCTAGTTTTGGGGAATCGTATTTATTAACCTCATATAAATACAGATATATCGGTAGATGTTAAAGCGAATTTTTTATACCTTACAATCTAGGTACTTAGTAAGTGAATACGGCGGCTTAGGAAGTATGGAGTGTAGAAGTAAGGAGTACAGACTGTGTATTAAAAAGTGTCCATAGAAAACCGTTAAATAAGGGTGGCGCCACAATAGCTATGCGGTAAATTTTAAAGAACGCACCGAAAAATATTAGTGGGATAGACGACTTTTTCGAGGTTTATAAATATTACATTTTAGAGCTATGTTTAGCACACACTTCAAACCTCACAAAGCTAAGTTCATTTCATCCCATTAGCTACTCCAGCGCTGTTGTGGAGAGTTTTTGAACTGCTACTTACTGCTTACAGATGGCCACTTTTTCAACTATTCTACTATGGGAGTTGGTACTCCTTACTTCTACACTCCATATTACGAACACTTTCAACAAACTTTAAAAAAAGGCCACAGGTGCATTATCACGCCGAAGTAGGGTTGCCAGATGATCGGGATTCGTCTGGATTCTCCCGACATTTTTTATGATCTCCTGACTCCCGACAAAACTCAAAACCTCCAGATAAACAGCTTCTCTTCACATCACGGCTGCTTTTGATTTAATAAAATCTGAGTTATTAATTAGACTGAACATTGAAGTAAATTGTTTGAATTTTAAATCTTTTCTGAATACTAATAAAGAGTCCAAATTGTGGACTCAGTAAAGTCCAATGCCATAAATTAGTTATGTGTCAACAATGTTGCCTTTTTGTAGCTTATTCATTTAAAAAAGTTTTACATTTTTATTTATATTTGTTTCTCCCGACAACAACCTCAAAAACCCGATATATTCAAATTTTGTCCAGATATTTTGGTCTTCCGATCTGGCATTCCTACGTCGTAGACGGAAATTTAAACTGGAAGACAGTAGTAGGTGCATCTGCGATTTTCTCTTTGCGATCAGTTGAGATTACGCTATAAAATATAGAATATAGCAAATATAATATAACACTACAATATCGCTCATCATTCAGTTTTATGTACACGTTCGCACTATGCTAAACTTGAATTGCTTGCTTCTGAAGCAACGTCCTATACTATATAACAGTATATTATAGCTTAGTCTGGACTGAGCTCAATTCTTATCGCATTAGCGGCAAAGCAGTATAGTATGTGTGTATCATGTTAAAATTCTTGGATGAAAAAGCAGAAATGTCATTTTAATGGAACATTTGTGAAAAATGGATGCAGGTGGTTCAAGACCGTGCTTCGTAACAACCTAAAGGGCATGCCTGTGTTCGGCAGTAGATTTGTTTGAGTATCTTTGTGCACAATATATAATAAATATAAAAATTAGTAAAGAAGAGCTCACCTGTTAGGTGGGTATGAGATTAGTGTAAAGAAAATACGGGCACGGATTTTTAATGACGGTTCTAAAAGTCATCTTAGTACTTGGACTATCAGGCCCACCCCTGATCTAAATGCATAAGCGTACATCCGATACATGTAGACTAGATTGAATAAGATCATGTATTTATTTACGCGCACAATTCGGGCATAAAAATATACGATAAAAAAATGTTGAACAAACCTTAATGAATAAGTAAATGTTTAAAATGGAGTAAAGTGATATGAGAAACTAAGAAGAATTTGCTTCAATCTTTGCCCGCCTAACATCCGATAAATATATGTTTTTTATAGTATAAAGGCGACAAACGAGCACACAGTCCACCTATGGTAAGAGGATGCTGTTGACCCATAGAAATCTACATTTATCTTCGATTAAGGACCAAAATGCAGATGCGTTATCAACCCTGAGGACTAAGATGGAATGCCTCGCTTCCAATGAAAAGGTCTACCATACGAAATACAGCAGTATTGAGCTGCTATTTTACGCTGGTATTCTGTGAGAGCGTCCTTAGTGGTCCTTCCCCACTCGAGCTGACACATTCGTGCTACAACCATAATACACCTGCAGCGTGGCTCTGCCACGTATTAATTATTAACAAGCGACTATAATTGCGTTTATTTTTATTATTTCATAATTTTTAAATGAAAGAAAATATTAGGTATGAACTAATAAGGACTTTAATGCTTATAGGAACAAAGATTAATCTATGATACTGTTTAACAAGCATAAATTCTAGAGCTCGTTGTACATTGTTAAAGTGACATCTAAAACAGATAACAGAAGAACGCGGCTATCCTGTTATTTTGTTTAACCTAGAGATCATTCTAGTCAAGCCCGACCTGTCAGTGACCGATAACATATGCAAAGAGTACAACATGTTTTCTATTCGTTTTTAACATCGACCATATTTATCTGTGTTACTGACATTGTCGTTACATTTATTACAACGTAAATCTTTATGCCCACAGAATAACGTAGGTATCAATCCAAACTTGTAGATTAAAAGAAAATACTTTCTTTCTAAAGTTATATGCTATAAATATATAGTTTCAAATGCTTACAGAATATAATAGCTTTAGATAACACTAATGTTTATTTATTTTACTTTTCCTCACTTAAATATAATATGAGTACGTGCCGTCAGATGGATGTTTACGACCGCAAGGAGACGAAAAATGTTAGAACAAAAGGGCAGAACAAAGGTTAGCCTTCGATGGGTGGCACTAATTCGTATATTATGACGATAGTCCTTAATCTGAGTGCTAAGCGTGGCGATTACGGCAAAACCTTACTAAAATAAAAGATAATGTTTTAAGTGGTAGAGCCTGAAGCTGCTGTGTTTCGTATGGTGGGTGTAGATAACCGGAGACTCTTTTACTAGTAAGAAGAGAATAGATATCGATGACCCACAGTATCCACTTACATTCAGGTGAACTGTGTGCTCGTTAGTAATCCACATTCTTTTAAAAAAGGCCCATGTTTTACAATGGACAAACTGCTGTTTAACGGCAACTGGAGCGATGCGATCATCTCCTGGAGCGGCTCTTAATGCACCTCTATGCCTAACGCCCTTTGATCTCTACTTAGACAGGATTTCGATTCGAGAAAATCGATTGCTGTCCGTTAGTCTCGCTAAAAATTAAAAACGGCTGGATCGATTTTGATGAAATTTTGCCGATTTTGATGAACTCAAACACAAACAAATTTCGAAAAATTTGTTGTCCTGGATGGTTTAGATTTAAATTTGGACCCGGAAGGTGGCGCCGTTGTCGATGTTTAGAAATCACCCGTACGAGGCCGGAGCGGATCGCTAGTTTATTTATATGTATTGACGTATAGATGATTTATGGGTAATAATTCACGCGAGAATTAATGTTGTTTTACCTCGGTGACTGTGAACTAATTAACGTATATACACGTCCTTATACTGGTCGTAACGATGTTGCCAAAAATACTTGATTTTTAGTTTATTAGTTAGTAAATTAGGCAATCTGTATTTCATTTTGACAATAGACATTTATTAAGGGTGACAAAGCACACAGCCCACCTGATGGTAGATGCTGTGGCACAGACATCCAGATCTATCGTCGATTAAGAATCAATATGCAGATGTGTTGCCACCTCTGAGGACTAAGATGGAATGCCTCGTATCCAGTAAAAATCTAAAAGGGGTCTCCGGTTCTGTTAATTTGCCATACGAAACACCAGCATAAGACTGCTATTTCATGCTGCTATTCTGCGAGAGTGTGGTCCTACAGGCGAGCCGATCCGTTCATGCTACAACCATAATATAGCTGCCACGTGGCTCTACCACGTATTCTGTCGTTATGCCGAAAGAGTAAAACCTTTCATGTGACTAGGATTTAAGGAAGATAATCTTGAAAGATTTATGGTTGAGTATAATTAATTACGCGGCTCAGTAACGCAGTGGCTGACTGTGACTAAAATGAATATGGCTAAAATACGAGGCAACTACAAGACCGCGGGTTTAGATTCCTCACGGAACAAATGTTTGAATTGCCTGAAAGTAATAGTTCCGGGTCTGTATGTTTGTTCTAGTGCAATTTATGTGAAATGCCTCATGATGCAGGGGAAAATCCAATTAACGATTACTTTATGAAAAAAAAAGTAAGGAAAAATTTATTGTAAGCAATTCATGTTTGATCTCAGGGTGACAACTGAAAATTTTAGTTTTCTTTGTTTGAAATTGGTTTCAGATTTCCATTGACTGGGCCAAACCACTTACTATCACGTGAACTGTTTGCTCGTTTAAGATTCAAATATTATAAATTAAAAAAAATCTGTTAGATTTGGAAATTTAAGTTTGAAGGTTTCACAGTTATTTGATTTGAAAATGCAACTCAAGTACTTGTGAATAGTGATGTTTACTCATATGAAAAACAATTTTAAGATTATTTATCTTATTTTAGGAAGAATTAAAAGAAGTGTTCGAGGGCTCATGCAAACTGATCCCGATCAAGATAGTGCGTAAGGAGTGCATAGCGTTGGCGGACGACTTCGTGCCCGAGCTGGTGGAGACCTTGGCGTCACAGATGAACCCGCAGGCAGTCTGCTCAGTTGCTGGACTTTGCAATAACGCGAGGATCGATGCGCTCCTCGAGGACTATGTATGTATTACTTTTTCTTTCATTTAAATAATGACAATGGTTTATATTTACACAGAACTGCAATAAGCAATAGAGTATCAATATTTTCAATGATATCCGGAAAACACCCTTAACCAAAGGCAAATTATGGGTATATGAAATTATTAAGTTATGGGTACCCGAAACTTCTTCTGAAAATATTGCTATGGGTCAACCGATAGTAAAATATGGACTAGTTCCACCAATAGCTGTACAAAAGGTGTTCTCTCTCATACTATTAGAGAGGATATGCTGTTAATGTCCGCTTGGGAACTTGTTCAGCGATCGTAATACACCACAGTATATTACCACTGGCATATCTTGTCATTCATCAATTCTTGGAACCTCACTGCTGAAGATAGATATATCTACCATGCAGATGGGTTGACTATTGTAATACAAAATGTTTCGAACTTGATGCTGTTCCCCGTTGTTGAACTAGGTATTTTACATTTGAGTGTTTTACTAGATTTTTTGCACATTTTGTTAAGTCGCCTCTTAAACACCCACAGGGTTATCTGTAATATAAGAGATGGTTTGGTCAGAGGCCATAAGATCTTTCTGAATCTGTCGACTATAACAAAATAATATTCTATTGTATAGAAAATATGATACGATGTAATTAGGTAATAAAAACTATTATGAATGAATATCTATTTAAATTAATATTAACATATTTTAATCAAGTTTATAACCCCGACGAAAAAGAGGGGTGTTATATGCATGTATCTGTCTGTCTGTCTGTCTGTGAAATCATAGCTCCCAAACAGTTGGACCTATGTGGATTTAGTTTTTTTGTTTGAAACGTGACTGAGAAAATTTTTTAGCTGTTTGAACATCATCAGCACTTTTTGTTTCGGCGATTTTTTAAATTTTAATTTTATGTTATCGTAGTAAGCTTAACCTAGATAATCCTTCACTACAGAACAAAAAGTTGGAGCTTCGTTCGGGCTGCAACAACTGTCGCAGAACTGTAGGCGTTGTCAGGAAGAGATTCGACGCGACCACGTACGAAGACTTCCTCGTCGGATTACTGCAGGTAAACTTTATTTAAATAAATAGCATTTATGACTGTAGAATTATTGAACGTTTTGATGAAAATGCTGTTAATATAACTAGCTCATTTTATAATCCGTCCGTGACAATAAAATATCCTTTTACTTTAAGATTCCTTTCGAGAGTAGAATGAAAGCAGTAGAATTGCGGTTGTTAAGGAGTATGTTAGGGCTGAATCTGAATGACAGGGTAAGAAATTGTGTAATAAGAGAAGAGTGTAGTTTGCAAGATGATGTTGTGACCAGGATTAAGAAAGGAATGCTTCGGTGGTTTGGTCATGTGGAAAGAATGAATGAGGAAAGAGTGACAAAGAAAATTTATGTTGCAGAAGTGAATGGCAGAGTCGGAAAGGGACGTCCTAGGCGAAAATTTATCGACCAAATTGGAGATTTATTGAAAACGGGCCAAATTAGGAGTACCCTTAACCGACGAGCATGTATGCGTAGGTATGGGTGTATGGTGTCCCAGGTCGGGGAAAAATATGTTATTGGAGTTTTCTGACATAAAATTATCAGCGTCAGCCCGGAGTCAAGCAATTAGTTGTGTTGCACCCCCTCTGAGTCTCCCCTGATCTATCTCCTGTCATGTCAGATTTTCGTGGCATCGGACTTTGAAAGTGAGGGAATAGAAAATTCACTTGTGCTTGTGCATACACTCGTGTACTGTCCTGTCTTCTATCCTGTGCAGATGGCTGGACTCCGTTAAGACAAGGCCCCCGTGACCTAAGTTCCTTTTGGAGGACATTATGTAAACAATTTTTTCCAAAGGTATGCGGCCGAATGAGCTCGTTGTCGGACTCGTGCTCAATGCTGACATTCAAGTACTACGAGAACATCCTCGCGGCTATCAAGAAGGATCTCACGCCGCACAGCATCTGCCATCTCAGCGGGCAATGCGCCATGCGATACCACTCGCACGATGACTACGATTTCCCCGACACCAAGCTGGAAAATCTCAAGGCCACCGAGTGAGTATTTATTTAATATAAAATCACATTTGTTCTAGTGATGGGCCGAATATTCGTTTCATGTTCGGTATTCGGCATATTTGGCAGCTTTACCGAATATTCGGCTAAATCACCGAACATTCGTTAAAGTGGTACTCAAAGTGTCCACTGCATTGAAATGTACAAATTCAGTAATGCCATGTTTTTCATAATTTTATTGTTAAAAGTATATTTTATTTATGGGTTAAATCTACTTGTATAGCGTTATTTTTTTAAACACTGTAGATTTATTTCCAATTGTAGCAAATAGAAAGCTTGATAAAATGCTTTTGGAATTAAACAAAGAAACATTACATTTCATCGGTGCATTTCACTTTACTTTGGTTGTCAGTTCCTCTAAAATAAGTCCAAATATTAGATCTCCTGTTACTCATTTATATCATACAATTATCAATTTTCACTTAGAATAATACAACAAAATACTTTTTTTCTCACAAAAATAGTCACAACATAAGCATGTGCCGGCATTTGCTCAGTATAGTTGCCGGCACGAAACGTGAGCACAAATGAACTATGGTGGGGGTTGAGCCAGCGCAGGTACACTGTCGGCCAAAATTATTAGGTACTTTTGATATTTCAATTCATAATTGAATATTTTCGCTGACTTTTTTTCGAAATTCTGAGTCGTTAACTCCTTTAACTATACGCCGTACAGTAGCTACGTAGACATTAGTTGCGTCAGCAGTCGGTTTATAAACGTCTTATCATGTTTTTCGCAATACCTAATTATTTCATGTAACAAAACACTGAATAGACCATTTGTTGGGATTGTCTATTTAACACCGAATTCTTTCTTCTCTGCATATTTAGACCAAAATCCGAATGCTCAAATAATAACAAAAAAAAAACAAATTAACAACAAGAAATATCAAAAACAGTCAAAAACAAGAAATACACAAACAAAAATTAACAACGAGGTAAAACGACAATTATTGACGACTCCGTGGCGCAGTGGCTTAGCAATGAGTGGCTGCGCTGGGGGTCGCGAGTTCGAATCCCGCACGGAACAAGTATTTTTATGGCCTACAAATAATTGTTCCGGGTCTGGATGTTTGTCCTTGTGCAATTTATGTTTGTAAACTGCCCCCACGATACAGGAGAAAATCCTAGTGTAGGGGTAACGTTTTTTTAAAAAAAAATACCAAAAATTAACTAATGCTCTGTCACTAAAATTGCTCTCAAGCTCAAGTGTGTACGGTAGTCGAATGATACGTGCGAACCCAATAGACGACGAGATTCGGCTGACGAACCAATCACGTTGAGCGTCAGCTTGGTCAACGTCGTATCGACCAATAAAAAGTGTGCTCACGACTCGTGGCGGCAATTATACTGGACAACGCAATAACATGTCAGGTGTGGCGGGGGAGCGAGGGCAAGGATCCTGCGCTAATCCCGCGTGTTTTATGGTAACAAGTTACGACACAAATTGGTTAGGTGCCGAGGTGATCCTGCCGAATAATGTTCGGACGAATATTCGGTTCGGTAAAAGATTTACCGAACTTTTTGCCGAATATTCGTATTCGGTGAAATCCATATTCGGCCCATCTCCAATTTATTCGCCATTCGTTTTAATGAAGGCATCCACGACGTTTTCTGTCCAGCAGGGCGGCGTCACTTAGAAATGAGGTGAAATATTTCACTGATTTCATTTCGGGATAAGTAAATTTATTTAGAAATATTGGTTATATTTTATAGTAATTAAATTGCAAATGGATTAACTGAACTAAAAATTAAAAAGAGTAAATAGAAAATAAAAAAATTAAAAAGAAAGTAAAAAATGTACAAAAAATTAAAGAAGAAACCACTGAGGCATAGTCTTGTGCATTTAAATACTCTAGCAACCGCTAAACTTTTATATAAAATGTAATGTCTCAATTGTAATGAAATTGAAGTGAAAATTTGAGAATATAGTGTATTGACATCATATTATTTCATGCCTTTGCCATGATAGAAAACCAACTAAGGTTTTAAGACCTATTTAAAGTACAAAATTCTAATAATATGATGAAGTAATTCATTAATGATGCTGTCACCTACACAATAGTTACCCAATAACTCAAAAAAAAATTGATGAAGACAAATGAAAATGTTTTAATCTTAAATATATTATATATATACAACATGTAACAAAAACACTGTGGTTCCCGTTAACTGCGTTATCAGAATCAGTATTCAAGCGTATAGAAATAAGTTTTTTTTAAACTGGACCATAATTTTTTTTTATTTCAATAAAAAAAATTATTAGCAAATTGTAATGTGGTTTTATTTCATCTAACTCACACTATTATCGGTAATGCGGGGTCTTTGACAATCCTCTTACTCCTCGGACAATGCGGAGATAATAAAACCACATACAATTTGCAAATTAATTTTATTTTAAATTAAATTTAAAAAAAATATTTCTATACGCTTGGATACTGATTCTGATAACGCACTTAACGAGAACCACGGGGTTTTGTTACATGTCATATATATATATACACACACACACATATATATATATATATATATATATATATATATATATATAAAAGACAACGTAGCCTACCATGTTGGTTTGCCAAACATACAAATTTTCTGGCTGGTAGAGTTTCTTTTTGCCTAAGAGTCTTATATTATCTTAGCCGGTTCCACCCACTGTAGTGTTCCGGCTTGTAGAGTAAAGAAAATTAGACGAGGATCTTTTTACTGGCAACGAGACATTCCATATCATATGTTGCGTATGTAGGCGCAGATTATTACGTATTATTTTACTCGCTCCCACATCTCTCACTAAAGTATTGTACATGTGTGGTGAGGCAATTCGTTTTCCGTGTTCGAAGTTAATTGCAGTTGTTCATGGGCTGAAATAGCCCATGAACAACTGCAGTTTATTAGCCACAAACACACTGCACTTTACTATCAAGTGGACTATGAGGTCGTTTTTAGTATATTGTTGTAGTTCGTAGTGTAGCATACGAGAGCAGGTCAAAAAGTTCGCGAAATGGAGGGGTTAGAGAGGGGACGGGGGATTTTTTTAACTGTCACTACTTGGTAACTCAATACAATTATAAATACCAAGTTTCAGCCTTAGCGTAATAACACAGGGTAAACAAGTCAATCGGGAAATAAACACTAACTACATAGAAAATTTAGTTTCGTGCCGTGTAATCCAACTCACTCAACCCAACCAACTCTAAATTAAAGAAAAATGCGGCTGCCAACTGTGCAACTATGGCGAAACCCTATGGGATCCTATTAGGCGGTGGTCTCCTATAAACGCCATCGGCCGCTTACAGCGTCACGCCGTACGCCGCGTTACGATGCTTACTATAGAAATGTACTGTTGTGGTCTCTTTCACAAGCTGATGTCGGCGTATGGACGTCGTAGGCGGCGTTAAGACGCTTTGCGCTGCGTCTCTAGGTATTTCGAACCATTGCAGCGTGAAGGTCGTGTCTAGCGTCAGTACAAAATGACAAAACTTAATAAAGAAAAAGACGAGTTACTATATTATTATTATGTTTAGATTGTTCCTGATTAATACTAAAATATTCAGTAAATTTAGAATTGCTGTCTTTTAAGTGCTTTATTATCAATAGCTGGAAACATCCTTCTTCATATCTCTTCATAAATAATCGGTGCCTTGTTGCATTTATTTTTCTTCGTATACGGTCGTCTTGTGCCTCTTCTTCAAGTAACACAAGCGCCCCCAAAAGTATTGAATTTATATCCATTTTATGTACAAATATGACGCACAACCACACGTGAGCACTGTCGGCTACTTAATTGTTGCTCGATCGAAAGTCTAGACGTCGTCCGTTTGTAAGATATGTATTGACCGCTGACGCTGTGTCTGGCGTTCAGACGCCGATCGGAACGTTTACGCTGAAGTCGGACGTCGCGTATAGCATTTAATAGGAGACCGTAACCTAGTAACTTTACTCTTTTTGCTAATACTGGGTTTGAAGGTAGGTAATAAGAAAACATTATTTTTGACGCAGTATTTAAGGTTGTACGGATTTTGTTGGATTTAATGGTAAGTAATATACAACGCAATAAAATCCGTAAATGAAGTAATAGTTATGTCTAAAAGTTATAAAACTTTAACATTACATAAACTATAATTTTTCACAGTGACGTTCCATGCGAGTTTTGCGAGCAAGTGGTCAATCATCTGCGAGACGTGTTGGTTGCAAACACTACCGAATCCGAATTCCACAGGGTGCTTATTGGTATGTATGTTTGATAAGAACACAAAGAAATAAATTCATGTTATTGACATCCATCCATGTAGTGGCAATGTAAGAACATCCTCTTATCTCATGTCGTTCCGTGGTGTTGTAAGAGGTGATAGAGGGAGACTGAGGCTGAGGTTGCCATAATATGTCTGTTAAGCGTGGCAACTATGGCAAAATCTCCCCTGAGAGACAAACTATGTCTATGGGGAACTTAAGGCGACAGCGCGAAAAAATGCACCACCTTTCATTTTTTTTTGCGCCCGAAGCAAGTATGGGCAACCCTCTGGAAAGAGGGGGAGGGAGGTTGGGAATGCTCATAGCATACCATGCAGCCGGCTGCGAGGTTATGTGGTGACTTTTACCCACTAAACCCAACCTTTTAGGAATTGGCTTAACGATCTGACTAGAGATCTCTAAGCCGTATACGAACGCGACCCTCCTTGGCAGAAAGGAGGGCGCAACAGCCACCACCTTTCATCAAATAGTATAGAACTATGACACCACTAACGAAACTGGAATTTTGATATAGGTAAATTCATGTCTTTATCTTGAATTTGCTTGTTCAATAACACGAATGTATAATTTTGAGTCGATCATAATTATTTGCGAAAACACCTCTAAAAATCACTATAGTTGAAATTACAACAAAATTACTTAATCTATATGCTTTAAATTATAAATAATAAAAGATCCCTCGGCAAGACCCCACCCCCCTTTTTTTAAAGGGGAAAAATCGGACACCCAAACACAATATTTCATTATTCATCGTGAATAATGGCCTATTTTCGAGTTTATATGGAGACAATTGACTCGGTAATAGTGACCAGTCATGAGTTCGTCCGGGTGGGATCGATGTATGTGGCGTTATTTAGATTTTAAATAATTATTAAAGACCATTATTTTATCATATCATTTCTTCAATTCATAAAAATCTCCAAGTTTTGGGCATAAAATAAAATTAATTAAATGGCCAAAAGGCATTTATTTCGATATTATTTACAGATGATTCATTTTTATTTGTATGAATATAGATTTCAACACACGCTTTTCTTATTAAAAACCTTTTAAAAATATATTCCATATATTGCAACTAACTTTTTGTGTTAAATAAAAATGTATGTGTAGCTTGATCGATAAATATGAGACCCGACTGCGACTTGCATACTTGTCAATCGTTCGCGAGGCTTAGTAATTTATTGTAAGGCAGCGACTCACTACGGACTCGAGTCGCTTGTAAATATTCTCATGTGTAAAAAGTCTGATATTTATGAAACTTAATTTGTAATATCCTGACTTTGGTCTAAATTCATTTTAGTAACAAATAATTATTTTTACCAGGTCTGTGCAAGCAAACGGGTTCATTCAAATCGGAATGCTTAAGCATCGTTGAGCAATACTACTCCGTTATATACAACTTCCTCGTGTCGGAGCTGAAAGGAGACGAAATTTGCACACTCATGGGAATCTGCTCGAAGAAGGCCGATGTCCCCGTAGCAGTGTTGCTTCCTAAAGAATTGGCTGTAAAAGCGATCACGCAGTCACCGAAGCTTATTGGAACTGATGAGGCCAATAGTTATACCACTCCAAAGGTTAGTAGTTCTGTATTTCCTTTTTAGCTGACTGTGTGTGTGCGGGCGCGTGCGCGCGTGCGTGCGGTCGTGCGTGCGTGTGTGCGTGCGCACTTGCGCGTGTTCGTGTGTGTGTTCTTGTGTGTGTGCGTGTGTAGAGCACTATGCGTGTAGTTTAGGAGGATATCCGGGCGCTGTTTAGTCCATAAAAACGTATTCATCTGTTTTCTTCCTGGTGACACTAGCAGCAAATGCATATAATGACAATTGGGAAAATATTTTTTACGCTACAACTTATATTATCATCAATCTATATTATTATACAATATTAACATATTCTAGCTTGTATTGATGGATGCATGTGGCTCAGGGTCATGCTTTATGGCATTCTTTGGGGGAGGCCTATGTTCAGCAGTGGACTTCTGAGGAGCTGTAATGATGATGTGATGGTGAGGTGGTCCGGTAGAAATTGCTAAATAGCAATAATATTACCTTTTGTTTTGTCTCTATGTCTGTTTCTTGTTATGTAATTAGTTTTATTCATGTGCAATAAAGAGTATTGTATTGTATTAAAGTGGTAGATCTATATCTACCACTGCAATTTTCCTATGCTTTATTTTTCTTCATAATTTAATAATTTTAAAAACTAGTAACCTTTTAAAATTAATAAAACTGCCGTGTTATACCGCCATTATGAGACTTTCAGAAAACAAATTCAAAGAAAATCAAAAATAAAAGGAAAACATATAGATATCGCCACAACCTGTTAATTTTTTTTTTTGGATAAAAAACAGTTTAGTTTTGGACGAGCAAACAGAGGAATACATATGATGATTTCATGTGTAGGTATAATCAAATCTGAGCTGCAAGTGTCTCTCTTGGTTACCTTGCTCGATCATTCGGGCACAGCCCAACAGGTTAATTTCTACGTGGTACGTGGTAGAGCAACGCTACAGCGATATTATGCGTGTAGCCCGAATCGTCCGCTCGATCGGGGAAGGACCACGCTCTCACAGAATACCAGCGTGAAATAGCAGCTTAATGCTCACCGAACCGGAGACCCGTTTTACTGGAATCGAGACATTCCATCTTTAGTCCTTAGGAGTGACAACGCATATGCATTTCGATTCTTAATCGAGGTTAAATGTAGATGTCTATGGGCCACAGCACCCTCTTACCATCAGGTGGACTGTGTGCTCGTTTGTAACCCTTATTCTATAAAAATGTTCTCCAAAATGTATTTGTTTATTATTTATTATCTATATTGGATAAAAAAGTTTCTGTTCTGTTCTTTTCAATAATATAAACTTGTTCGAAATGATTAGGTTGCCCGCGTGCCTGTAGCGAACAAGCAGACGAACGTGCGTATAATCAGCGAGTCCAGCGCTCAGTTGCCCATCGAGCGAATGTTCGTGTCTGTGCCGCAGAGCAAGGCCGCCTGTTCCTTCTGCCAGTACTTCCTGCACTACCTGCAGGTCGAGCTCAGCGACACCAACACAGAGGTAAGACTTTTATTCCTTATAATATTACAGTGATTCAGGAGCTCTTGAAGAACAACGCAATTTGAAAATACGCCTGCAACAAAATGTAATATAAAAAATAAAACTATAACCCAAATAATATCCCTCTCGGCCAGTCTTGTGTGTTTACTAAAAGAAGTGATAATCTTTGTGAATGTAACATTACATGATGGTGTGGTTGAAGCGTGCTAAAAAGTCAAAATATGGGTATAGCCCAATTGTCAAGCCAAGACACCAACCCGCTTGCTAAGCGTTGCTACTATCTGGCGGAGGTTATCTTCACCAGTGCACTTCAATAGGCTAACAGCCAAACGGTAACGGTAACAATGGTTAAAGGAACCGAGAACATCATCATCTACACATTATATTCAAAACTAAATTTACAATGATATTTTCATGCCAAGTATAATAATGTCCTTCAGACCGAATTTCGGTCACGATGGCCTGCCTCAACGGAGACTAGCCATCGGCACAGGACAGAATTAGTACCCAAGTGTATGCGCAAGCACAGATGCATTCTCTATTCCCTCACTCTCATAATCCGATGGGACGGTAAACCGACACGATCGGAGAGAGATCAGGCGCAGGACCAACGACTTTACGTGCTTTCCGAAGCACGGGGGTGAGACACCGACAACCTCCTGACACCGGGCAGCTACTAAGAATTTCTTGACGGTAAACCCAGTAATTGATTTTTGGCCCGACCCGTGATTCGAACCCAGGACCTCATGATCAGCATAAGCACTACTACAACCACTAGACCAACAAGGCAGTCAAGCCAAGCCAAGTATTCACTATATATAATTATACATAACATAACATTCGGTGGGTGTTGAAAGAGCCGACCGAGGGAAATGAAACAGGAAAATCAGAAGAGCTGAATCTTATAATAACTCAATACACAGGTAGGTATTATTAACTAGAGGAATAAAAAGCAACAAATTGTCTATATAAAAGTAAGATTGGTGACCTTATCGCTTATAAACGGTTTTAATTTAACCAGCCAACCACTTTGCAGAGGATATAATGACCTGTGGATGAACCTGGGGAAAGAGTTAAGGGCAGGTTATTAGAAAATATACATGACATCTAGGCCTACGTATACGTATAAATAAACAATTAGTAAATATAGACATAATATAAATAAATACATTTCAATTTAAAAGCATAAAGGAGTAAACATTAAGTGAAATGAAAGTCACGACGCAATAAAATTGGAAACTATTTATATATTCGTTTTGTTTAGTATTTATTAGGTGACTGACAAATATGTGTAATTCCGTAGTTAACTAAAAAAAGTTATGAGAGTAGTATACGGAACGTTTTTATTCGATAGGTAATTTAAATGTTAACAGTCAAGGTGTTATTTTTAAAACTTTAATTTGTTACATTAATAAAAAATATTTTATGTGTATATTAATTTAAAAAAAATATGCAGGAATCGATCCAGGAGGCTGTGTCCAAAGCATGCAATAGTCTACCGCAGTCAGTCAACAGCGAGTGCAAGCAGTTCGTCACTGAATACGGCCCAGCAGTAATTGCATTGCTTGTCCAAGAAATCGACCCATCTAGTGTAAGTTCCACTTTATAACCTCAATGAAACCACCATTAAGATATCTTCTACTGACTAATACTGTATTAATTTTCCCTTATTATTTCAGGTGTGCCCTGCTTTAGGTCTCTGCCCGCAGACGGAGGAAGTGCGCCACGTCTCTATTAACTCTGATAAGTCCAACTGTCCGCTCTGCTTGTTCGCAGTGGAACAACTCGAAACAATGCTAAAGAACAATCGCAGTGAGGTATTTTTATATAACGATATTTATTTTTGATTTTACTCATAAAAATTGACATTAACTTAACAAATGCTAAAGTTACTTCCTCTCTCTCTTTTTACTAAAAAACCAATCGAAACAGACGTAAGTATAGATATAATTATAGTCAACCAAATCTAAAAAAACCGGCCAAGAGCGCGTCGGACCACGCTCAGCGTAGGGTTCCGTAGTTTCCCGTCCGTCACAAAAAGTGTTCCCACTTATGAGGTGGGTATCCATTATGTTCGCGCTCCAGCACGCTCCGCGCTCCTGCAACTGCTCCCGGTAGTGGGTACTGTTGTTTCCATCCAAGTTCAAAATAATTTTCCTAGAAAGTCCTTATAAAATTCTACTTTTCAGATTTTTTTTCATATTTTCTAAACTTATGGTTCAAAAGTTATACATTGTTTTTTAATTTTGGAGCGATTATTTCCGAAATTATTGACATTATCAAAAAATGATTTTAGTAAACCCCATTCATTTTTAAATACCTTTCCAACAATATATCACACGTTAGGGTTGAAATTAAAAAAAATCACTTCCTACTTTACATATAGGGGGGCTACCCTAATAAAACATTTTTTTCCAATTTTTATTTTACCACTTTGTCGGCATGATTAATACACATATTGGTACCAAATTTCAGCTTTCTAGTACTAACGGTCACAGAGATTAAGCGAGGACGGACAGACGGACAGACATGGCGAAACTATAAGGGTTCCTAGTTGACTACGGAACCCTAAAAATACCTTTTGACGTTTCACATTAATTATTCCACAATAACTTTGTACAATCGTATTCACACGATTTAAATAACCTTTTACATAAATCCGAAGAATTATGAAGTTATCTATATTTCATTACATCGTGTATAGTTTTTTATCACTAATTTAAATTAGAATCTTTCAAACAAAATAAGATATTAAAAAAATATCCAGTATCACCTTTTTTACTTGACTTTGTTTCAATGATATGTACCTTAACGTAGTGTTTGGATGATTAAAATTCATTTTTATGCTAATAATTGGCAAAAATATTCAAATAATTGGTAAAAATGTTCAGATAATCGAATCATTATTTTTTTTAATGTATGCATGTTTAATTAAATTTTTATTTTTAAAATTCTTTAAATTACATGAATCATGAATAAAACAAGTTATTTTTAACTTTGTCAACGTAAATTTTTGTAAACAAAAAAGCTCATATACAAGGCCGCGCTGAAAAAACTACTACGTAATTTCAATATCCCGTGTAGCGGCGCTGTCGTCGCGCCACAAACGAAATAAACCGAAGCTTAAATCACGCTATCAACATTCCGAGTCAGAAACAGTATATATAGAACATCTCCGAACTATCACTCGGAGTGTTGGCCGCTCCCCGGGCAGAACACCTTGCTCGGCGGGAGATCTCCCCTTTTCCTACCACGGCCACAGTGGTGACCCCGACGTGATCTGAACACGCAACCAACAACTTTCGGAAACTTCAAGCTTCATCATCGTCATTGAATACCCCACCCATTCGCTCCCGAGCAGATATCGTCTACAGTCTTCATATCCTGCAAGCCAGCTAGCTTCACAAGGTTCATCGCAGCACTAGAATAATAATGCTTCCTGTTCCTTCAAGCTACTCTCTGCGCTACAGTGTTCGGCACGGCTCTGAGCCTTACTGCTCGCCTCTGCGTCACGGCACTCTCGCAGATTACTTGCCTTCTTCTCGACTCACTGCAGACTACAAGGCAATATCCTGGCACTTGCACATTCGTCGGCAACGAGGCTGCACTATCGACCTCCGGTCTGAGCAGGGGGTGATGTAGCGGCGCTGTCGTCGCGCCACAAACGAAATAAACCGAACCTTAAATCACGCTATCAACATTCCGAATCAGAAACAGTATATATAGAACATCTCCGAACTATCACTCGGAGTGTTGGCCGCTCCCCGGGCAGAACACCTTGCTCGGCGGGAGATCTCCCCTTTTCCTACCACGGCCACACCCGCCATTTCCGGAGCTTACTTTACCTAATTTTGTGATTTTGTATTTGTCTTATTATGATACTCTGCTTTAAGTTTTTGGACTGTTACTTCTATATTTGTTGAAGCATGTGCCCATATCACAAAGGATGATTGGACAAAAGTGGTATAAAATACAAAAAAATTGATTAGAGATTACTTCGAAAGAGACATTAATTTCACTGTATTATTGAAAATCAAATAATAATTAATCTAAGCAACGACAGCTCAATTAGTTGTACTGAAAGTGATTGAATAAATTTATTTTTAATCCAGTTTGAGTTTGAGATTTTTAATGCAGTGCCTCTAGAAATAAGCAGTAACAACAAATACGAAGAAAAAACTGATAAATCTTGTGTTTTAAATTATGCGTTTTTATTTATTCTGGTATTATTCAAACCAAACTGTAAATGAGTACCGACTCTAAATAATCGATATCGATTTTTTTAAGAATCGAATTTTGTACGTTCGCATCTTTGGTTGGCATGCTTAGTGCAATGAGTCTGACATATGTCAAAATGTATTTCTTAGATTTGGTTGACTATAATAAATATTCGCTGCGTTTGGCAGAAAAAAGCGCTAGCAAGCGCTTGTAAGCAAAATGGATATCGTAAGCGGTAAGCGCTTTCAAATCGTAAGCAGCATTTTCCTCTAGGACACGAAGTTAGTTTTAACCGGGGAACCTAACCTACTTTAAATAAGTATATGTTTGTAAAGTATTCATATTAAAAACTTACCAATCATGAATTTTTAATAACATGTATAAGTAATATGTTTATTCATTTCATTATATTACTTAAAACTAATATTGCACAAAACAACTTATTATAAACTCTACTTCAAAACAAACAAATTAAATAAGCAAAATGGCGGATTGTGTCAGCGCTACTGAAGTAGCAATCGTGTCCTGGCCGAAAACTATTTCAGCACTTGTAAGCGCTTGCTAGCGCTTTTTTCTGCCAAACGCACCCATTAATAGTTAAGTCATCTAAGGGCTACAGTAGCTCCACTTATCACCGGGTTAACTCGTAAATTCTTTTGTCACTTTAATATCATATAAAAAGTTTGCTTATGTTTTATACTAAGATTGTATAATATCAAATTTTTAGTTCACTTAATTACAATTAAAATCGTCTGCAGGTGTCGTAAAAGTTGACAGAATTATTATCGTAACATCTTACATAAACTATATTTTATTTTGATTAACTTTTATATCGTTAATTTGTTTTTTATATCACAAAATATACAAAGATTTTGATTGTTTTGCAAGATTTTCTTAATCAGTTCATATTTCCAAATAATTGGAAAAATGTGTTTTAGTGTGAAATAACTTCAGCTCAGATTGTTAGCTGTAAATTTCATCGGAACCCGGGTTCGATCCCCGTCGGCACCAACGAAATTGTTAATTTTAAGTGCTGATTTACCACGCGCTCGGCGATGAAGCAAAACATCATCAACATCAACATGAGGAAGCCTGCATGTCTGAGAAAAAAGCACATAAATGTCGAAGACGTGAATTTTGCCAGCACGCATTGGGGTAGTGTGGTGGACACTTCCTTGCTTTAAAACCCTCTCAGAAATGAGAGGAGGCCCGTGCTCGGCTGTGTGACCTATATAGACTGTAACTTTTACTTTAAAACATTTCTTTCTTTCTATATTAAGCCAAAGTATTATTACAAAAAACAAAACTGATATAATTTTTAATTCGATTTGAAAAGGCAAAAGATGGTTTTTTGGATAGACTATGTGCTTTGTATGCTGTCAATTTTATAATAAGTAACTATCCAAGAAACAAAGACCGCTACAGATGCGTTGTGTTACTGTAACTGGAACATAAAAGTGTATGCATAGATTCATGGAATCAACAGGCAAGAGGGAGATACCAGATAGACCGAGAGCCCCCTCTACCTACCTACCCCCTAATAAAATGTCAACAAGTTGTTAAATAAATATATATTTTTACATTCGATTTGTTTCAGGACAACATTCGTCACGCTTTAGACAACCTTTGCAACCATCTATCCGCTAAGCTTCGTACGGAATGCGTGGACTTTGTCGACTCGTATACCAAGCAGCTTGTAGAGATGCTTGTAGCGAATATGAACGCACAGGAGATCTGCGTGTTCCTCAAACTGTGCAAGGACGAAGTAAAGGACCCGCTGAAGATCACCCATCAGTCGATAGACAAGTTCCACGAGCAACCGCAGTTGAGGGGTGACAGAAACAACTTCAGAAGGAAGTCTATGCTACCGCAGGAGATGTTGGAGACGACAGCCGGTGATATAGGTGAGTAAAACTTGAATTTATTTTCGGATGTGTCATTTCTTTATATTTAAGAGGGCATATGCGTTTCGCGTCGGAAACTACATGTTTTATGGTTTTTCCAAAGGCGATATCGTAACGACGTGAGGAGATTATTTGCTGAAAATTAGGGCTTTAGAAAGATGAAGTCTTTATTTAGTACATAGCAATGCAAAATCATAGTTTTTAATGACAGTTTTTTAGGGCGAAGACAATCCCTTCACAGTGTTTTACGAAAATATGCATCAGAGTTATCTTTCAGGTTGAATACAACCATTATTATAAGCTAAAATACTTTATTTTAAGCGTTATTATAATGGAATATATAGTCTTTTAGTGTATAGCAAAACCTAAATTACGAAAATATTTCGATTTAATATTATAAAATAATATTATAAAATCACCAAAACTGTCTACTTCAATGTAATTTTTTCCATGTATTTGCTTATAAACATATCTATTTTAATTATTTTATCAAAATACATGTAATGTTAAATATCCAATAAAATTATTAGCTCGTTTTATTTTGTCAATTATTTTATATAATTATTTTAAAAATACTATAAAACATCATGTGCAGGCACCTTTCGATTGGTAGTAAGTAATTTTGAAATATGTTTATGATTGTAATATTTAAATATTAAATGATGTAATGGCGACAAATTTTCATTTCATACATATTTTTTTAGAAATGAGTAATGAACGTAAGCAATTTGGATCAAGTAAAAATACAAAATCGTTGGCTTTCACCTTTGGCTCCGTGGCGGAGTGACTTGGTAATGAGTTGTAGCGCTGAGCGCCGCAGGTTCGAATCCCACATTGAGCAAAAATTTGTATTACCTACAAATAATTGTTCCAGGTCTGGATGTTTGTCCTTGTGAAATTAATGTATTTAAACTGCCCCAATGATGTACTTAGGAAAAATTCCTAGTGCGGAGATAACGTTATGATTAAACAAAGACATGACATCAAAAACATAACTTGTAAAATAACCAGGTCTCGCAATGATGATACGGCCGTGCCGCTGTTTTGCTCGACTTGGCGGGGGCACTACCGTGTCCCCAGACATAAAACATATGAGCCGTGCTTGAGTTGAGTAGCTCAAGGGCGTAGTGCTCGCCGTAAACTTGAACAATCCGGGCTCGATCGCCGCTAGTGTTGCCAGGTGTCCCGATTTGCGCGGGACGTCCCGATTTTCAAGGGTCTAGTGACACGTCCCGATTCACCCTTGATCGGGACGCCAAATGACCCATTTTCACTAACATTCTTATTCTATACTTTAATCCATAATTTAGACAGCAAAAATGATTATATCTGTTAGCTACTACCACATTAAAATATTTTTACTACGACATTGTCTCACTAGTCGAAAAAAAACCACAAAAGTTTTAAACAGAATTATATTAAAATGAGTGATTTGAAAAATTCAAGGACTGCAAAAAAAAAAAAACAAATAGTTCAAAAATGTTTTAATTTGCTTAAAATGAAAAACAAAATCAGTTTTTACGATGTTTGGATGAAAAGTTATTCGTTTATGAGATCAGACCCGAATAATAATTATAAAGCACAAAAATAAAGTTACAGTCACAATTTCTCGCATTACTCGCATGTGATATTTACACTTTACTGACCTACCACGGCTCTCAATAAAGCACAAAAAGGCTACAAAGAAACCTATATTTTGTAGTCATTGTAGTTGTCCGGATATGAAAACCAAATCCCCGATTATTTTTACCTTCCGTCCCGAAATTTTACTTGCTAGACCTGGCAACACTACTCCCCGCCAACACTAATGAAATTGTTAGTTTGTGATGAATTATGTTTACATTATGAAACACTAAAAGTTTATCAAATTATATATATTTTATACAATACATATTTTTCAATTAGAACATATACATATTATAATATACCTACTCAATAGGGTGAAAATGTAAAGCCGACTTCAATTTACTAAAAGAATAAAACAATTTCCACATATTAGCCTCCGATTTCTATACACTATATAAGCCATTATATGGAAATTATTTTTTTATTATTTTAGTTCCAATAGTATCAAAGACAGGTATATAATCAAAGATCAAAGTGATTCGTAGTCGTCGTTAGGCAACTATTATAGCCTCACGCTCGCCCTGACACGCACACAGAGATAACATTGTAGCGTGCGTCAATATTACGCCGATCCAAAGCGATCACATAGATTTCGACTTGGACATATTTGAATATGCGCTCTTAATGCAATATTATGTGCCATTGTTTTCTGGCAATGGTATGTCATAATAAATACATTTATCCATTCATCTTTCCTGCGAGTTTTTGAAGAGTACAGTGCTACCATATCTATGTTCAAGCTTTAAGATGCAATTTAAATATAAAAATAACAAGTTGTGACGAACGAACTATAATAAACACACACATAGCTAACATAAATGCCCCATGTTAAGTTGCTACTGCAGAGCTCGGCTACCCGAAAAGTTTCTTCGTATTTTGTTTGTATAAAATTAAAGAAAAATTTCTTTGGTTGTACAAAGCCTGTAATATGTCACACAGCTAGGACTCTCATTTGATAGGGTTTTGGGACAGGGAAATACCCGCCGCACTGCCCTAATGTGTATTGGCTTACTTTACGTTTTCGAAACATTTTTTTCTATTTCTCAGACAGGCAAGTTTAATAATGATGTTTTCCCTTCACAGCCTAGCGAACACAGTTAATCAGTGATAAACTTAAAATGGCAATTGACAATTTCGTTGATACCAGCAAGGATTGAGCTCAGGTTGCTCGCGTATTTTAAATTTACAGTGAGACCTTAGTTCCAGATCTACCATGGCTTGGCAAAACATCTTGTCGTTGTGACAAACATAGCTTACTACAATACATACATAATAGAATGGGGGAGTGGGTGGAGACCGTGTAGCCACTAACGTGTCAATTCACAACTATAAATATCAACACAATCAATCGTTTTCAATTTTCGTGTCAAGCGTCGCTGCATGCAAATTATTTAAAAAATGGCAAATTGTGCAATAATTACGTGTTGAAAGAACAGCGGGAAATGGAATTTAAATCAAGTAGACCATTATATAGAACCATTAAGTCGAAACTATTTTTACTTTGTAAATATTAGGAACAAAAGTCAATAAATAGGGATGTGTCAAAAACATTAATCAAAAGTCTAAAATGTGTAAATTCGCTCAGTCTGTCAATACAGCGAACGAATCGTATTTGTAGTAGTGATAATACGACGTAATTGCTTGTATGTGTGCTCCCGGCGACACCGATCCTCACACAAAATAGGGTTGACAGCCATTCTATTGTGTATTATAGTATTCTATGGTGACAAACATGTATAAGAAATATTTTTATTGGAATATAAATATATTTTTAACTTTATACTGAGAGCTGAAGCTTTCTAGTCTTAAATGTAATGTTTTATATCTTATTGCAAACTAAGTATATTGATTTTAACGTGTTTAAAAAAAGAGTCTTTGTCACAAAGGAAGGCCCTTAGCCACGGCGCCACAACCTTTGTGAAATTTGACATTTGCTGTCAAATTCTATACTACACTTATTCTATGGACTAATTAACACCGAGCGCAAACCGGAAATAAGTCTGTGCCCGCTTGGGACATAAGACTGTAACTTTAACTCGTTATTGAAACAGAATCTAGCTCAGAGTTCCCCAAACTTTTTTGTGTCGTAGACCCCTTGCCATGTTTTTCCGTGTTGGGTAGACCCCCTACTTACCTGATATTGATTTTCTGTAAATTTCTGACTGTAGTGCAGTTAAGTGTTAAAAACTTAAAGTAAAAACACATGTTAATTTATACATTTATTAATTGAATTTAAATTAAAACTACTCAAAATAAAATTTTGTATCTGTTATGTAAAATATACGTAGCATTAAATAAACATAAAATAAACTATAAATAAAATAACATAAGCAATAAGTCAATATTTTTGTGAGAAGGATGAACCTGATGCTTTAATAATAAATTATCAACATTTGGCGTCAATTTTGTAAGGGTTAATCTTAAATCTCCTCGGCTAATGATGTCCAGTCTGTGTCTTTTTTTTTTCGTTAGGAGATTGGTAACAGCGTTGAACTCCCTTCCCACTAGGTATGACGATGGAAAGGAAATTAAAAATTTCCTCGCTATATTCCATAATACGGGATAAAAAATAGTATAGATAGAAGTAACGGGTATGTTGTTTTGCAGCCAGAATTGCTGATATCCGTTTTTAAACTGAACCTTAAGTTCTTCGTTTGTACTTAGTTCAGTCAGTTCCTCTTGTATTATGACATTCGTTTCTTCTATGTCACCATATGGATTAATTATCCACGGTGGTATTACCATAGTCAAAATATCCTCAAACCTAGATTCAAAATCTGAATAGAGGGCATTTAAATGTTGAACGTAAGTTGAAACGTCGTCTTCCTGGCAGCTTGTCTGTGACAAATTGGGGAACTGAGAAAATTCGCCCCGTCCAATATTTTGCTTCATTAGTTTAACTCTGGCAAGAAACGCTGATAAGATGGACTTTGTTTTAATCAAATTTAAACTGTCGCCTTGTAATTGCAAATTAACCATATTAAATTTTGTAAACAAATCTGTTAAATAGGCGATGTCTGTTTTTCTCTTCATTAAATTTTCTTTTAAAATTTTATCTTTAGTATCCAGAAATTCTAAAATAGTCTCAAAAAGTGAAAAAAATCTTGTCAAACATAAGCCTTTCGACAGCCAGCGTACTTCAGTGTGAAGGAGTAATTGATGAAAGTGTTAGTCATTTTCTTCACACAACTGCGCAAATAACCGCGTATTCAACGCGTTGCTTCGGATTCGGTTTACTGCATCAATGACTAAATGAAGTGATTCATGCAATCTAACACTCAAATTTTTAGCAACTAAATGTTGTCGATGGATGACGCAATGTATTGCTAACACACCTGACACATTTTGTTTTAAATAGCTTATAAATCCACGATAACGTCCAACCATGGCCGGTGCTCCATCTGTAGCTACTGATATTATATTTGATAAAGGAATTGGTTTTTCAATGAAGTAATCCTTCAAAACTTGAAATATTGATTCACCTTTAGTGTCGGTTATCAAAGTTCTTGCGAAGAGCAGTTCTTCGTAGATTTCTTGATTCATAATAAAACGAACATATGCCAATAATAATGCTGCATTATCAGGTAAAGTTGACTCGTCCAGTTGTATAGTTTTTATAGTTTGTATAGTTTGCAAATAATTACGTAAGAAGCTTTCAATATCAGAAGTCATTTCATCAATACTTCTTTCAACAGTATTGTTGCTTAAGGGAATTCTTTTAATGATATCAGATGCAGGTTTGTGTAAAACAGTTTTTAAAACCTTTTCAACGGCTGGCGAAATTAACATCTCTCCGATAGTATGCGGTTTTTCCGGATTTTGCTATAAGTAACGAGATATTGTAAGACGCCCGCAAACCATCATCATTTCTTTGTGACGTCGAAGCGAACATTCTGTCCAGTGTAGGTCTCTTCTGAAGTTTATCTTTGAGTGTTTGAAAGTATTTCAAATCTTTCTCTGTTTTATCAGGGTGGCATCTTCTCAGATGATCTTGCAGTTTAGATGGTTTTATAGCACCATTGGCCAAAACTTTGTTGCATAAAAAGCACATAGGCGATTGTTTGTCCGGTAATGATGGAATGAAGCCAAATTTCAAATAATCGACACTGTATACTGTCTACATTTCTTTTTAGATTCGTACATGGCATCAGTCATCTGTGGGCAAAATTAAATTATTTAAATGAGAGAAAATCCACCAGCTGTATATTAAAAATATTTTTTGATTTTTCCGAAAACATTCCATAATTCGAACATCTTCTTGCAACAATTAGCTCGAATTACGGAGATTGCACTGTAATTATAATACCGATTGCTAAAACTTTCAAAAAGGAACTATTGAGGAGTACTCGTGTAATTTTGCATGATTGAATATTAAACTACTAATAACTAGTCATGATTGGCGTAATTTATCTATCTTTGTTAACTACGAGTACCACACTTCTCCAGCACTATCAAACAAAATAACGCTGACTCACTATAATTTGTGTGATATACTATCTGTTTATATTTTTTAAAATATTTTCTTAGCACTTTCCTTTTCAAGATTCAGGAAACGAATAAACGTATTTATCCCACATTCGTATTTATAGAGTGACGAATTGAACAAGTCAGTGCAAGGTAGCGAAGCTCTGAGACTGCGACTCTCAGGTTTTTACAAGTTCAAAATGTATTGCGACCACAAAGCAAATACCAACATCCTACAACTTACACAATTTTATAAACGTATATAATACATTTTTTACTTCATAGGTACTTTTATAAATAATGTATATGTTTTGATATTATAAGATAGTATGATGTAAGTAAATAGGTACTATCAGTGTATGTGTTGAGATCCACTATCGTGGACCCGCATTTTCATTTCATGGACCCCCGCTTTTTTTCGAGGACGTAGACCCCTTGCAGGTTATCATAGACCCCTAGGGGTCGATATAGACCACTTTGGGAATCACTGATTCTAGCTTAAATCTAAGACTAATTAAAAATACTTTTTGTAACAGGACAGTATAGGAGTAGCTATTCTTATATGATATATGTAATGACAACTAAACCATATTATATTTGACCTGGTAAGACATGCAGGAAGTCAATAGAAGCATATAACTTCTGACCGAGCTTTGTGACGTTCCTTGGGGAGGCCTATGTTCAGCAGTGGACTTGTGAAGTGTTCTGATAAAGATGAGGATGATTTATATATTTTTATGAAAAATAATTGCCACTTCGTATTCGTTTTTAACTGCGCAGTATATTAATAAATAATTATTTAAAATATATTTAAAATAATGCGTACATATTTTTTTTCTCTTGTATATCCACAGAGACGAACGAAATTCCCGATCACACAGTAAACGGTCGAATGAAGAAACAACTTAAGCAGAAGTCCGTGTGCATCATGTGCGAGTTTGTTATGAAAGAAATTGACGACCAGATTAAAGACAAACATAACGACGTACGTATTAGTGATTAAAATTTAAATAAATATCTTATGTTATACCTAATGGCTCAGAAAACGTGCCGGCGAAGTTGTGCGATTTTGAATAAAGGAAATGCCAGAAAGATATTATGGCTTCCGATTATGGGCAGTATAATCATCTCGTTAACGCCGAGCGTTAAATATCCGGCGGACGGGATGAGCGTAAATAGATATAAAACGTCCGGTAAATGTTCGTTTGTTTAAATCAGGTATTTCCAAATTGGTTGATAACGACCCCTGGGGTTCGGAATCGGTTTCTCAGGGATCGACATAAACGAAAATAATTGATTTTGTTGGGGGTAGACGAGGTTTAAAAATCGGCACATATTAATTAACACTAGTTTTTATGTGAAACTTTCATGATACTGTATAAGTTGTGTTACGAGTACCAACTTATTATAAGAATGACTAATATTTAAGTAGGATATATCATTGTTGTACTTTAAAAAAAACTCAATAGGTCGATAAGCGTACATAGGTTTGTACAAGATTAAAAACTCGGCAAGTCAATAAGCGTGGACAAGTTCGTGCAAGATTTGATAATTATTTTGTTAAATTTTAATGAGAAAATGATCTCAAGTTTACAGTCTTATCCAACCGCAAAGTATTTAAATTGGTAAATATTTTGTATCAACGTGAACTAGAGATAGGATATTTAAAGTAATTTGACTATGGGGCTCTGAGGCATTATTAAAAGGGTATCCTTGCCAAAAATAGTTTGGGAATCCCTGGTTTATACTGTCGCGTCCGCTAAATGTTCTGTTTTCCTTAGATTACAATCAAATCACAGATGATGTTCTTTGACTGTCGGTTACGCTAATTTTGCTCGGCCTCGCGGCAACCCTGACTCCTTGTTTAGCTAGTAATTGTTTATTTTCATGTGATTGTTATTCACAGACTATGAATGAATCAATAATCATATTCGAGAATGTACAATTGTAGATTCATTCAAATTTTTTCAATAAAAATGCTGTCTGTTAATGTGTTGTGGTTGAAAGCAGACATGAGTACACCATTATAGTTATTAACCTAACATGTTTGTTTCTAACAGGACGAAATTAAAAAAATAGTGCACGGCGTCTGCAAACGTATGCCCAAGTCAGTGCGCTCTGAGTGTGATCAATTCGTAGATAAATACTCCGACTTGGTCATCAGTCTGCTGGCCCAGGAGCTGGACCCGTCCGAAGTCTGCCAGGAATTGAAACTTTGCGACTCCACTAGGATGACTGACGTTAAAGGTTTGTTTAACACTTGCCTAACTTGATTGTAAAAGGACCATGCTCTATCAATACATCAGTGTAAATCTCAGCATAATTCTTTGTTTCGCCTGCCAACGAGTACCTTTAAAGAGGTCGTCCTATTCACCTGTTTACGAAGCGTTCCATTTCAAGCTCCAAGGGAAACACCGCATCTGCATTTTGAATCTTAATCGAAGGTTAATATAAGAATGAAAACAACCACCAATACCATCAAGTGGACAGCGTGCTTGTTTGGTCACCTCTGAAAGTGAAGGCACTGCGCGGCAAATGTCCCGATACCATCCACACCCTCTGGATGCTTGGTTCACCACTGTACGTTTTAAAAGGAGTTTTCCTCCGCGTACAACCTCTCTGTGGAATAGTTTACCACCGGCAATTTTTCCGGACCGATACGACCTGGAAACCTTCAAGAAAAGAGCTTACTTCTTGTTAAAGGGCCTACAACGCATCTGCAATTCCCCTGGTATTGCGGTTGATCATGGGCGGCGGTAGTCACTTACCATCAGGTGAGCCGCGTGCTCGTTTGCCCCCTCTTCTATAACAAAAAAAGTACTTTCGAAAGGCCAATTTTGTACCAATAGATTTTGACTAAGCAAAACTTAGCGACTTATGTAACGAAGGGGATAATATTGCAGTAAATTTGTTGTATAGTTGATTATTAATTTATTAGAGTTTTTAGAAGTTTACACAAGTTTAATATCGTTATCGTTGAACTATTATATATAAGCCAATACTACTGACTGACTGACTTATTACTAGATCTCTTAAAACTGTACACCGGTAACTTGAAATTTAGTATAATTATTTATTTCGCAATGTATACGCTCACTAATAAGAATTGTTTTTACGATAGTCCTATAAAAAAATTCTTGATATTTTACATCTAGCTTCCACAATCAAATATTATCCTACACTACCTACCCACTCGAGTATCAGCTAGTTTATAATATTTTTCATTTGTATTATTAACTAAGGTCATTAAAAGCTACATAAAATCAGTTACGTCTTCCGTTTAGTTATTTTTAACTATGTACTATGCGTCTATTCGGTCGGTGTTTGTTCGGAGGATTTATTGAGTTTACCACAGAAACAATGTGCACTGTGACTAACCTGCCTTCGTGAGTTAGAACATGTTTAATATGTTCGTCGTTTTAATGGTTTTTTTTATAGAATGGTGTTGACAAACGACCATACAGTCTACCTGATGCTAAGTGGCCCATAGACATCTACTGGCTCAAAGATATCTGCATTTATCTCCGGTTAAAAATCAAAATGCAGATGTTTTGTCACCCCTAAGGACTTCGATGGAAGGCTTTGTTTTCAGTAAAAGCGATCTCCGATTCTCTGCAATCACCATACGAAACACGGCAACATCAAGCTGATACTTTAAGACGGTATTTTGTGAGAGCGTGGTCCTTCCCCGGTCGAGCCAACCCATGTACAGCATGTGAATGAGTGTGAAATGTGATCGACCGGGGGGTCGAGCTGACTCATTCACGTGCTTGAACCATAACATAGCTGCAGCGTGGCTATATAACGTGGAACATATAATATGTTATAAGGAATGCATTATATAAATTCCAGCAGAGGCGATCTTGGACTGCGCGGTGTGCGAGACGGTGGTGATGGCGGTGAAGAAAGTGCTCAGCAACGACAAGGTGGACCGCAACATCGTACATGTGGTGGAGAAGTCCTGCGCACTGCTGCCCGCCAAGTACTCTGACAGGGTGAGTTGCTATTAAGTAACACAAGTTTTTATTTGAATACCGATTTGTTTACGCAATGTATCAGGTCGATAAATCGCTAATACCACGGTATCTCTACCTATCTTAATTATAAGAGAGCTTGAATCTTAATCTTAAAGCGGTTCCTCCACCAAAATCCTCTCTATGTTATTTTGTATTTGAAAACTATTTCAGCGTCATTTCGATTATATAGATTCGTAGACGCCATGTACTATATCCCTACAAAGGAGGAATACAATGATTGTACTGTAACCAACACTTGCTTACACTCGGTCGCAATACATTATTTTGCCACGTTTTTATTGAAGTCACTATCTTGTTTGTTCGTCGTTCCGAGTGAATTTATCAATTGATTTTAAACTAACTTTCCTATTGCCCCATTTACACTCAGCCCTGTTGGGCAGGGCAGTGAGCAGGGCAGTATGTAAACAGGCTACTCGCGCTGACACTGCCGCTGCCGCTGCCGCTGCCCGACGATCGCTCAAATGTCGGTTTTTCGTGCGGAAGTCAAAGGACGGGCAGCGCGAGCGGCAGTGAGTGTTCACATTCAGCTCCATCGCTCACTTCGCGCCAAGCGCCTGGATGAACGGACGTGCGTGCCGTCTTGTTATTAAATAAGTACGATCTACCAAAATGCCTTTCGAGTGGAATAATGAAAATACAATAAAGTTTTTAGAACTGCTGGAATCAGAAAAATCTATATGGGATTTCAACGATAAAAACCACAATTAATCATCTTCTACGAATACGAATTTTCTTTTTGAGATAACATAGTACCTATGTACATAATTAATTATAAATTCGTCAAATTTATTACATTAATATAAAATTTAGTTTAAGTAATTAATGAACATTGACATTTTATTTCTAACAACCATTAGTAACTCATATTGATTATTTATTATTAAAATGTGAAATAAGTTAAATGGTAATATTTGCATAATAGCCCGAGATTTTTAAATTATAATTTTATTGCAGTTAAAATTATGAATTAATTAATACTGTAGTGTAATTATTAAAATAATAATAGCTTAACTATTCTCATATAATATTTAATATTATTTATGTAACAATAATGTAATAATTCAATTAATAGTTTTTGAACAATTTACAGTATAAGAATTCAAATAGAGTGGATCTGTATAAGTATTTAATTGTACATAATACCTATTTGAATTCAAAAAGAATGTTTGTACCTAACTTTTAAGCAATACAATAATTTTAAAATGTAACATTGGGTTTGTGTAATTAGCTGTATTTCATATCATTTTTGCATGCTAATTATGGCAAAACATGTCAGTTCCACGTCATTGATCATCTTATGTACCATGTTTTTAAGCAAATAAATTTTCTATCTATCAATCTATCTTCTTTCGAATTTGAAATCTTTTTAAATTATTAACATAATTTTGTATTGCAAGAAGACACAGCGCAGACGCTGTAATTATTTCGACGTCTGCCATAGTCGAAAGCCGAAAGTGATGTGAGCGGCGGCATGGCAGAGTGTGAACACACACTTCCCGCGATCCTGCTACGGCAGTATTTAGCGAAGTATTGCCGGCAGCGCGAGGAGCAGTGGCAGGGGCTGAATGTAAATGAGGCATATGAGCTGGCAACTTTAAATAAATTTTGTATATAGTTCGAATTCGGATGACAATACAAGAATATGAAAAAAAAACGTAATGTTTTAATTAAAAAAATCACATCTTTAAACGTTAACCACAATGTAGAAATTTCTAACATGTAGTATAAGTGTTTTATCTTCCATAATAATTATAATAAGCACTCACGCGTGTCACCCAGAGGGGCGGGCAGAGACTACAGACTTCCATTCACGATCCTGACACACCTCTCTCGCCGCTTCCACATCCATATACCTACGCATACATGCTCGTCGGTTAAGGGTACTCTTAATTTGACCCATTTTCAATAGATCGGCAATTTGGTCGACAAGCTTTCGTCTAGAGCGTCTCTTTCCTCATTCATTCTTTCTACATGACTAAACCACCGAAGCATTCCTTTCTTAATTCTCGTCACAACGTCATCTTGCATACTAGAGCAATACACTCTTCTTTTTATCAACTATCATGAGAATCAACAATCAATCAACAATTTATGAGAACAAAAAGTAAAGTATCAGCTTCCACACGTCCTACTGCTGGTACAGGTCTCATCTTACTCCTTGAGGGCTATGGAGCAATTAGCCCATCGCGCTGATCCCTCTGACATGTTGATTCTCTCACGTTTTGATTTAAATGAAACAAAAAAACACTTCTTAGCCAATCGACTTAAAACTGTATCTAAATTGAAAACGGACAAAAATGTTAAAACTGTATCTAAATTGAAAACAGACAAAAATGTGCTTACAATTATATTATATTTATATAGATAAATTAAGTTATATAATTGGTAAAATTATAGAATTATTGGTAAAAATATTACCAAAATTTAATTTAATTTTTGTGATTCCCCAGTGCCACACGATGCTGGAGATCTACGGCGACAGCGTCATCCACCTGATCGAGGAGTTGGGTACGAAGGGCGTATGCGAGAAAATCGGTCTCTGCTCCGACCACAGTGCGGCCTACGTGCACATGCACACGGGCAACTATTGAGCTGAGTAAGTAAACGCGGTGTTTAGTGTGAGATTAGAAATATAATTTTACTATGTTTAGTTTTGCGATAAGTGTGACAGATTCGGATACTACTAACGAGAGTTAACTCCACGCAGACACCGACCACTGGTTAAAATATATATAGTATTAAATTTGTAGATATTTGATTTCAATTAAAAATAAACATCCAAACTCGCATGTCTTTCTTTATTTTCATTTTGGTCTCGAAGACGGACTACCTTTGTTTTCCTTATACATAAGGTATAACTGGGTAATGGTGTATGGGTGGTAAGGTATGGGCTTTTACGTAGTACATATTATATGTAACTATATTAAGAAGTCTAATAAAATTTTATTTCTTGTTCGTATGCATACCTTTTATGCGATGAAAACAACTTTGATATTAAGACACGAAATAAAAAATAGGTGAAACTAAACAAAACTCATAAGAAAATGCGATTTAAAAAAAATACCTGTTCATTTGATCAATATCTTCGAGGTTAGTTTTGGAGTCGGTTACACGAGCTTGCTTAGGCTTTTACTTCCGGAGAAATTCAGTAAAATGTCATCGTCATCATTACAGCCTATCAAAACCACTTATGAACATAGACATCGAACATAAATTGCCACATGTGGTATTTGCCATAGTTGACATACTTTCCGGGTTTGGCAAATGCAATTTTTAAAATTTGACTTGATATCAAGGAGGATACCAGTCTACTGTTTTGTTTCCCATGTCATCTTTTACGACATTCGAATATTCTTACACCGCCACTTAACAGTAAAAAATATCATTTTCGAGTTAGTTTGAATATAATGAGTAGTTTTTGTTTGATTTCAGGTAATTGCTCCTCTCCTGGTCAGGAGCCTAAATTTGTAATCTCCAATAGTTACTTAAGCTTTTTTACCAAATGTAGTGATTGATTTGGTATTTTTTTTTTGTAGCGGATTAAAGCTATTACTGTAAGAGTTTGATTAAAATATTTTGTCTTTATGTTTTGAAGAATTATTTAGATTAAGTTTTCAGTGCATGTATCACCAAATTTTTATTACGGATATTGTCAACGTAATTACCCACTGTACCCCGATTATTATTAGGTAGACATTTAAGAAATAAATCATTACGCTCATTATGTACTACTCTTAACGAAATCTTTTAGTTGACACACGTCATCCTGTGATAACATTTTTGTAAAGGAGTATAATAAAGTTTGACAGAAAATCGACTTTCATTTAAGACTCAGCCCTTGACATTTTATAACACCTTTGTGGCGAGAATTTGGCTATTGCAGTTTTCACGGTGCTGTTGTTGTATTTCCGGTCTGGATATTTTACGTGCGACGCAAGAGGAGATTGTTATACCGCCCTCTATCGGAAGCTATAAGATTTCTATGATTTCTCATTGTCCGCTGTCAAGGCCGTTTTCCGACTTGTCGGTGCGGGAGCTGTTCGGATTCGTTTCGCTCGGTATACATGATACAGAAAGCTTGCCGAGCGCATATATTTTACGCCGGCTCCACACGTTGGCCCCAATATGTGCCCCAACGCTACTCGTCCAACGGGTGGATCTAGAGCATTGGTCCCAACGTTGGGGCGAGCCTTGGTGCCGGCTCGTGTCGATTTCATCAAAAGAATCTGTGCTAACGCTCGCGATCTATCCACACGTTGGCGCTTTGCTGAGTTCTGTTGCAACACGCAGCGAGTGCGTACGTCGAGCGAGAATGGCTTCCTCATCCACAAAACCGCCACCGGCATGGACAAATGAAAAAGTCATAGAATTTATTGAACTTTATCAAGCACATCCAATAATATGGGACGCAACTCGAAAGGATCATAAAAATAAAAATATATTAGCTGATGCATGGCGCACCATTCAACAGAATAAGGGAATGAATTTGATTCCGTGTTTTACGATGTGTCGTCATCCACCATCTTCTTTGACGTGGCTTTTTATTTTTTCTTAGTAACAAACATAAATGTGCACTCAGTACTATAAAAACGCTCAGAGCAGTTTCGATTTCTGTATCGGACGTCTTCACATCGGCCCTAACGGGACAGAACTAGTTTATTAGTCAACGTGTGTACGCCTCACCGAATTTGCAGTCCAACGTTGGTACGAGCGTTGGGACTAACGTGTGTAGCCGGCCTTAATGTGCGTCTTCTAATTGGCGCGGTATGTGCGGGTGCGGGGAGGGATCGTTTCGTTTTACCGCGTCTCGGGATGCGTGTCCAGCAGCCCCTTACCAACATGGCGGAGCGATATATTCACATCGTTTTAGTACTAGAAATTAAACATTCTCTAAACCTTGTATTTGGCTTTGTTAATACTGAAGTCGATTAAGGTAGGCGATTAAGGATCTAATTCAATGACATGTCTTTCATATTAACGAGAAATATTATATGACAACCACTTAAAACAAAACGAGAACTTGAACGTCCGGTTTTATCCGGCGATTCAATTATAATTTTTTTTTTCTCGATTAACTTAAAATATTTTAATAATTCAATTAAGAATTTAATTGTGTTTTATGTATTAGTATTTTTTTTTGGGGGTTATCCTTTTTCAAGAAATATTCATTCTCGAGCGTCAAAATCGTGTCTAATAATCCTATACCTTTAAACCAGCAATTCTTGTATATATATAATCGAAATCTCGGAAACGGCTCCAACGATTTCCATAAAATTTAGAGTCCAGGGAGTTTCGGGGGCAATAAATCGATCTAGCTTGGATTTATTTCTAGAAAATGTGTTTTTGTCCGTCTTTTCAGGCAATGAAAAACTGCTACAACATCAGAAGGTAAATTTTGACACCATGTAAATGATCGTAAGGCCTCTGCTTCGAATCTTGCGGGCAGCGGGACGGCAGCGGCGGCGGCGCGGGAGCGGCAGGATCTTATGCGTAAAATCAAATGGACAGACTCTCGAAAACAGCGGCTTGGCAGCGGCGCGGGGGCAGGCAACGAGCGGTTTACTCCAGTCAAGCGGTGACCGCCCGCACGTCTGCATTGCAGTGCTGTGCAATTAATTTTTGTGACGTTTCGAAATGTTCTCGGAGCAAAGATGTGAACCATAAAAATAGAAAAGTAGTTAACCAGTTATGGGAAGAAATTAAAAACGAACTGAATACAGATTCTAAATCGCCCTTGATAGCTTCAAGAATATAGTCAAAAGTTTCTACGTTCATTCTGGTGTAGTCGTAGAATTTGTCGGGACATTGTCTCTGTTCTTCGTAATTTCGATAAAACTCGGCTTTTCTTTTCCTTGCCCTATAAGTAGTAGGGATTCACTTCTTCTTTTGCCCACTGTAAATCGAGCGTTAGAAATAAATTTGAATCAAAAAGATGTTGTCGCCGTTGTTCAGACATTTCGTTCGCAAATAAAAACAAACATCTCGACAACACAACCATGAACACATCACTACGCCGCTATAGTGTCGCGCGATCTGCCCGCTAGTTTCGTGAACGGGTCTGCGTTGCCCCCCCCGCGCCGCCGTCGCCGTCGCTCCGCTGCCCGCAAGATTCGAGGCAGAGGCCTAATAGCTCAAGTAGATATCGAGCGGCGGCGAAATCTAAATGCCTTGGTTCGCGTCCCGTCTTCGGTCTGATTTTTTTTCCTTTTTTTTAAAGTTACCTTCTTTTGTGGAAAATTCTATTATTTTGAGCCTTTTTTTAGTATTTTTTAAAAATTGGAAAATTTTTAAAAATTGAAAAAAATGGAATTAAACTAATTGCACTCACGATTTTTTATTAAAATAACCAGTTCAGTATTTTCTATTATGTCAATAAGATCAAAAAATATTATTCATCAGTATGTAATTTGTATCTAAATGTAATTTTAAAATAAAACCCGAGCAAAGCTCGGTCATCCGGGTACTGCGATATTAAGCGGTACGTGCGCGGGTACAAGTGCGAATGTCCGTTTGTTCAAAATTCAAGAACTGTTACGTCGTGCGTGCTGCGGTTACACGCGAGATCCTGGGCACGAGCTTGTTAACTTCCCAGTGGGAAGTTATTGTCACGTTTCAAGGTCTTTAGAGTCGAATAGTATGGTTTTTAAGAGGATGTACGAGTGTGCACATGTATGTATGTGTGTATGTTCGGTTTAAATTTTCGCATCGTGTATCTTGAGAACAAAGAGTGAATTTACATGGGACCAGTTTCATTTAACGCATATTATGTAACTTAGACCCCATTAATTTTTGAGCAAAATCGCGGTCAAGTCGTTTTTTGTGCCGAATGAAAAATTGTATACAATATTAAAACATAATATATGATATTTTTTTATTCTTCCCACTTGGCAGTTAGTCGTGTGGACCTTTCGGATCGCACCTAGACCGCTTTTTTCATATAAATAAACGAATGCCGCTACGGGACACAGGGTGTACGCGCCGTGAAAATATCACTTCAGAGTAACTTATAAACGAGCATCTCAATATTTACAGAATTCATTTGTTATCCCATATTACGGCCTAGGTATTTCGCGTTTCATATTGATGTTCATTTTTTTTTTATAGAAAAAGGGTGACAAGCGAGCACACAGTCCATCTGATGGTAAGTGGTTGCTGTGGCCCATAGACATCTACATCTATCCTCGTTGGCGAATCAAAATGCAGATGCTTTGTCAGCCTTGAGGACTAAGATGGAATGTCTCTTTTCAAGTAAAAAGGGTCTCCGGTTCTCTACACTCACCATACGAAACACAGCAGCATTAAGCTTCTATTTGACGCTGGTATTCTGTGAGAGCGTGGTCCTTCCCCGGTTGAGTCGATCCATTTGTGCTACAACTACACGTAAAATCATTCATGTTCGCAATGAAAAGAAAATGGGTGTTGGCATTGTTATTACTGTTTTATATTTATAAATTCCAACGTCGGAGATAATTGCCAATAAAAAATAATAGATAAAGTAATATATACCGTATTGGGTTGAGATTTCGCCGCACCTCAGCTAAGGGTAGTTTATTGAGTCCAGGGCCAAAGCAGCCGGAAGAAAATCAGGTGTCCTTAAAAGGTTGCGGCGGTACCTACTTCGCTCCAGAGCAGCTCCTTACCTTATATAAAGCGCAATTTCGGTCATGCATGAAGTACTGCTGGCACATGGGCTGGTGCTGCAAAATGCCACCTAGCAGCCATGAGACTCGGTGGACAGACGTGCTAAGAGGCTCATTGATAACCTTGATTTGGTTGAAACCTGTCTTGTCAGCTTTGAGTACAGGTGCGGAGTAGTTAGCCTCGCGGTATTCTATAGAACGTTTCTCCGAGTGTTCGCACAAATTACATTTTAAAGCACAAGTTCGGCCTCACGTGGAATACTATTCCCATCTCTGGGCCGGGGCACCCCAGTACCAGCTCCTTCCATTTGACCGCATTCAGCGCAGAGCGGTTCGAATCGAGACGATCGAGTTCTTTCCGATCGGCTCGATTCAGTGGCGCTGCATTTACCATGGGGAGTGCTCTGATGAATTGTTCGCATTAATCCCAGCCGCAAAATTTTACGAACTCACATCGCGTCAAAATTCACGATACCATCTTCACAATCCGGATGCATGGCGGTCCACCACTGTGCATTTTACTAGGAGTTTTCTTCCTCGTATAACTACTCTGTGGAATTTTTTACTATCGGCGATTTTTCCGGACCAATACGACTTAGGGACCTTCAAGAAAAAGAGCTTATTCCTTTCTGAAAAGCCGGCAACGCACCTGCAATTCCCCTGGTGTTACGGTTGTTCATGAGCGGCAGTAATCACTTACCATCATGTAAGCCGCGTGCTCGTTTGCCCCCTCTTCTATAAAAAAATGCTTTTATTCCTTTCCGCCATCGAACAGCTGGGTGGTCCTCATCTACAAACGTTAGTAGATTAAAAGAATGACAACGAGCTTTTAGCTTGGCACGCCCAAAAATAAAGAGATTTTATTACATTTCATACATTTTCTAAATTGGGATGTCTATACTAAGTATATCTAGTTAGCGTCAAAATATAAAATTCTCCATATAATCACAAGTTAGTGTCAGGTAATAAGAATATTCATTTTAAGATAAATAAAACGTAACATAAATCCATAGAAGTATGCCAAAATCGTAACCAAAGATCTCTCTTTTAATCTCTGGTCGAAATCTCAGAAGGAACAGGCGTATGACAGCGAGGATCGTCTCTAATTTCTTGACTTTGTGGCCCCAGAGCGGGTTCATTGGGATTATTCTTGAGCAGATATTCAGCCAGCCATAGTATTGGCTCAGCGGGTCGCTCTCTGGCGAGGGCGGCCAGCGCTGGTTGCAATGTTCCCACGAGGTGCTTTTGAATGTAGTCGTTTACTTGCCAGTGCCGAAGTAGTGGACCCACTATCACTGCAACATTAAAAACCTATTTTAAGTAACGTAAACCATATAGTACTTGATTCATTAATTAATAATTAAAAAGTTTTTTTATAAAAAAGTTACAAAAGAGCTAATAGACTAACTGATGGTAAACGACTACTGAAGCCTATGTTGGCCTCACTTACAACTTGTTCAAAAAGAAACGAAAAAGAAAATGCATTGGCAACCCTGATATGGAACCCAACTAATAAAGAATTCCCATAACCTTATTTATAATTACTTCTTTATTTGGGATAACAAACAGCCAGTCTTAAGAATATGAGATTATTTTATGAATTATAACAAGCGTACTCATATTATATACTCAATATCATGGTGGATAATATGTGTGGATAATTCACACGATAATATACAAGATTGTGTACTAACTCTAAACCCCTCACACCTGTATGCAGTGTATGCACTCTTTAAGAGAACAAAAGTTGGTATTTGCCCAGTGGCTAAGCGCTAGGTCGAGCTGCTGCAGGGCAGCGGGTTCGAATCTCACACGGAACAAGTATTTGAATGGCCTACTAATAATTATTCCGGATGTTTAATAAGATGTTTTTTTTAAAGTTGGAGTCCATCTTTTTATTAAATGCAGAAAAACAGTCCCTCAAATAGAAAATCACAAATGGATTTAGTTTTCCATATAAAATAACCTAAAGAAATTTCTCGAAAAAAAAAACAACTAACTCGATTAATGATTTCTTATATTTACGCGAACATTGCACATGATTAAAACTACTTTTACGGATTTTATCGCGTTTATTTTTTACTTTTTATTTTTAATTCCCGACGTTTCGGGCGCTTTCCAGCACCCATGGTCACGGGGGACTGAGATGACTGACGTCCCGATGTCATTGTTAAACCCGGAGTACCTTCAGCTTTTTTAATTATTGTTTATGGTCCGATCTATGCAAAATGAACTGACTATGTCCTGAGGTCTTGCAGTGGTATGCTTGGTTTAGTTTTAATTTTTTTGATTATAGGATCCCAAGCAGGTGGTAGTACCCAGCCTCCTTCTCTATTGAAATTAGGATGTTTTTTAATTTTAATAGCCTCACGTATCATCCTTGGTAGGAATCGGTGTTCTTTCGCGAGGATTTGTGGTCTATCAAATCTGAAAGATTGGCTATATCTTGAAGCGAGCTTCTATTAGAACATTCTACAAGCCGCCGAAGAAGATTAGTCAGTTCCTACCATCCGTCAAGTGTCATATTCCTCTACAAGATGCAGGAGTGTACAAGCTTGATTGTGAATGTGGTCTCTCTTATATAGGACAAACCAAAAGATCAATTAGGACCCGCGTAAAAGAACATATAGCTGATGTGAAGCATCAACGTTCCGGGAAGTCTGCAGTTTGTGATCATATCCTAGACGGCCCCAACCATTACATCAGATTTGATAGACCACAAATCCTCGCGAAAGAACACCGATTCCTACCAAGGATGATACGTGAGGCTATTGAAATTAAAAAACATCCTAATTTCAATAGAGAAGGAGGCTGGGTACTACCACCTGCTTGGGATCCTATAATCAATAAAATTAAAACTAAACCAAGCATACCACTGCAAGACCTCAGGACATAGTCAGTTCATTTTGCATAGATCGGACCATAAACAATAATTAAAAAAGCTGAAGGTACTCCGGGTTTAACAATGACATCGGGACGTCAGTCATCTCAGTCCCCCGTGACCATGGGTGCTGGAAAGCGCCCGAAACGTCGGGAATTAAAAATAAAAAGTAAAAATAAACGCGATAAAATCCGTAAAAGTAGTTTTAATCAACTAACTCGATTGCTCAACATTAGGACTTAAAGGTTAACCTTAGCCATTGCAATTTCACAGTGAAGGATATTATTCGTAGTGATGCTGAGACCATGAAAGACCTAAATAGCTGCCCGTACATAATAAAAAATTCTGTATGAGCTAAACGAATATAGAATAAAAGTTAAAGACATGCATCGCAAATTGCCAATCTGCCAGCCAAACTTACAGTAATTCCTGAATATTATTGGGAAAGCTCATCAGCTCAACAAAGTGAGGATCATTTATTTACAATTTCCTTCACTATAAAGTAGACAATTAAAATAGGAATGAATTATACAAACTGTTAGGAAAGAAAAAGTGAATTTCCCGCAAAGCTTCGGCGTGATTCTTGCTGCCATGTAGAGCGTTAAAGTAATCGCCATATTTTGTGCGCCGGCCGTAGGACGCGCGCAGGCTATCCGGCCAATAGGCTTGTGCTTCAGCCACCCTATGATAAGACGTTAATAAAATCATCGAGAGTATCTTTCTCTTGCAATGAAAATAGAAAAACATAACTAAAATATTTAAAAAAAAATTATACCTACCATACATGGATTTTCTTCTGTATCGTGGGGTCAGTTGACACATAAATTTCACAAGGACAAAAATCCCTACCCGGAAAAAATATTTGTAGGCCATACAAATATATGTTCCGTGCAGGATTCGAACCCGCGGCGTATAATGGTACTCATTGCTAAGCCACTGCGCCACAGTCGTCCAATGTCGAATTTCATCATTTTCTAGCAAAAAATCTGGGCAAGATGTTTTTACCATACTAAAATTGAATGAAATGAGCGCTTACACGAGAGGAAAAATTATTTGTTAAAAATGTTAAATATTAATTAGCTACGATGCACGTAATAAAATAAAATTATGTATCTTATCTAGTTTTAAGAGCACTTCTCGCCCTCAATTGCGTGCATTAAACCCGTAACCGCCTTATCCCACTACTACTGCTCCCAACACCACTGTTCTCAACACACCTAAGTAAGACACCACCGTCGGTAATAAATACATTGTACTAGGTTAATCAATAAGTTTTAGGAAACACAATGAAACTCTAGGATAAGTATATGTAAATTGTATTTATTTTTCAACGTAATTGCTAATACACCTTTAATAGTATTTTGCAATTTGCTTAATTCCTTTGGAAAAAAGGCTTGATTCTGGGATTCGAGAAAGGCCTATACAGCACAAATCAGCTCATCGTCGAGGTCGTATTTTATAACACGCAATTTTTTCAGATGAGTAAAAAGGTAAAAATCACCCAGGAACATGGTGAGTGCTGCATCAATTGAAATATGGCATTATCATGATGAAAAAGTACTCCAGCACGCAATTTTCCTCGACGTTTATTCTTTATTTTTTGCGTAGTTTTTTGATTTTCTAATGATGCGTAATAATCTCCGGTTATCTTCTCTCCTTTACTTAAATAGTCGATCATTATTATATCTTCCGCATCCCAAAAGACAGAGGCCATTATTTTTCTAGTGGACGCAGACACCATGACCGGCGAGGAAGACTGTCTTCTCCTCACCTTGCTTTGGCTATTCGGCGCCGGGTCAAAACGGTGTACCCACGTTTCATCTACGGTTACGAAACGAGCGCAAAAAGAACATGATTCTTCTTCAATTATTGCTAAATTTAGCTTTGAAATGTCATATATGTGAGCATTGAGGGACCAAAAGCTGAGTATTCGTGAAATGAATTGCTATGGATTTAGTAGTAGGCCTAAAAAAAGTTGAATGAATCCTGTGATTTGTATAAAAAAATATTAACAAAAAAATTAAACCTCTGAAAAAACTGAAAAGCAAAAAATAATAAACCTTTTTCTTTTACCCTAATAACTAAGTTTTTAAACTATTGTAAATATACCTAAGTATATATTATTTTTGTAATTATTTTGAGCTTTTAACTAACATTTATAACTAAGTTTTTAAACTAATGTAAGTATACCTAAATAATTTTGAGTCCGCGCTAAACAAGCAAAATTAATTATGTGATGCGCGGCACGACACGCCCCTTCGTCAGAAAATGCCATTTGTTCATTGATTGCTTCACTTCACTAATTTTCACTGATGTATAAAAAATATTGTGCGGATGTCTGCTGTCTATCTGGCTGATAGACTGTCAACCGAGGGACCGAAGTTTAAAGGATGTAACTTTTTATATATTTTTAACAAATGACAGGATTCATTTTACAATTTTTTAGGCGTGCTACTAAATTCTTAGCAATTCATTTCGCGAATTCCCAGCTCCTTAGTGCTCACAGATAATAAATGTCCTCTTGCGTTCTTTTGGTCGTCTGCTGACATTAAAGGAACCCAGCGCGCGGCCACTTTTTGACATACTACCTTAACAATTTTCGTTTTTTTTTAACGTTTTCTTGCGTAGCGGCCGTTGTTGGCCGCTCGTAGCGAGTGTTGTCTACCGCGTTTGAATTCAGCGCACCAGTATGCCACTGTATAATAAGATGGAACATTGTCTGCCAAAATAGACTGCAGTTCTTCGAAAATACTTTTTCTAGAAAAACAAAATTCAGGCAGGAATATTTAATAACCGCACGAAGTTCTAATTTCTGCATATGAATCGAATACCCGCCAAATGGGAAGCTAGAAAAAAAATTGGGTATGGTTATTAATTTAGTTAGTGTATTCTGGCCTTGGATACTAACAAATTTAAGATATGAAAAAATTACAACGCCTTTTTATAACTTATTGATAAGTGTTCTATTCCGAAAACTTATTGATCAACCTAGCACAACACATGTTTCGCCACTAAATGAGACCATCAGATCATCACGTGAAAAGGTGAAATAAACTCTGACGCGGAGTCTACATATTTCACTACCGTAGATTATAGGTGACGGGGATATTCCACGCAATTGCTATGCAGACGACAACACTGGTGATGCCTTATACACAGGTCGTGCCAATATTTCTCGGGAAATCGTTGCCAGGTACCGGGACAAACTTGTGTCTGAAGTCGAGTCTTTGATTAACAAACATATCGACATATCAAATAGTGTGCAGTTTTGTGGTAACTTGAGGGGGGGGGGAAGGCCACATTGGCCTTTAAAAAGCTTGGCGTGCTCAGCAGAGCCAGAAAGTATTTCATGTCGGCACATCGCTTGCAACTTTACAAAGCGCAAGTTCGGCCTCACTTGGAATACTGTTCTCATCTCTGGGCCGGGGCACCCTAGTGCCAGTTACTTCCACTTGACCGCATCCAGCGCAGAGCGAATTGAATCGTTGACGACCGAGTGCTTTCTGAACGGCTCGATTCACTTGCGCTGCGTAGGTAATGTTGCATCCCTTTGCGTTTTTTCTCGTATCTACCATGGAGAGTGTTCTAAGGAATTGTTCGGATTAGTTCCAGCCGCCAAATTTCACGAACGCACATCGCGCCAAATTTCACGAACGCACATCGCGCCAAAATTACCGTTACCATCCTCTCTACCTGGATGCTTGGCGGTCTGCTACTGTGCGTTTTACTGGGAGTTTTCTTCCTCGTACGACTTCTCTGTGAGATTTTTTACTACCGGCGATTTTTCCCGACCAATACGACCCAGAGAACTTCAAGAAAAAAGCTTACTCCTTTTTAAAACGCCGGCAACGCACCTGCAATTCCCCTGGTGTTGCGGTTGATCATGGGCGGCGGTAGTCACTTAACATCAGGTGAGCCGTGTATGAGTGCATGCTCGTTCGCCCCCCTCTTCTATAAAAAAAATGAGAGAGGGCGGCAAGGTGCTCTTCAAACTAGGTAAGACATATAATTTTATTTGATCTCAGCTAATTAACATTTAACATCTTTAAATATAATGGATTTAGCAATTCGGCAAAGTAACGCTTGATTTTATTAATTACATTAAAATTTTGATTTCTCTATTAAAAAAATAGTTTCTGACTAGACGTATAACGAAGACTGTGGAATTATTATAACGGAAATAAAAATACCGAGCGGGTCCCATTAAATTTCGCCATTTCTGAATACATCCTCGGCCTGCCAGCACTAACACCACGATAGGACCGCTAGACATTTGTGCAACGAGATGCGGAAAGTAGTATTGCCCGTAGTGGTTCCGGTAAAGTTCTGCCGCTTGCTCCGGTGTTAGTCGAACTTCACGCCGCTGAGGTGAAAAGATTAAAGTTGTTTTAATTAATATATACCATATTACTATACAAGCCTCTCAACACTTTCTTCTTCGTCTTTTTCTTTATCAACCGTTTTTAATCCACTGCTGGATATAACAATATGATATTTCTTTTCTTAGGGTGTAAGAAGTGGGTGTCGTAAGAGATGATAGAGGAAAATAAATCACGAGGTGGGCAACAGCGTCTTCCTTGTAAGAATTAAAAATAAAAATCTGCGAATACCAACTCGCCTGCAAAACTTGGCAACTTTTACAAATTAACCCCCTATGATGTAAACTATGGGTGACACCTATAGTTAGCAATGCACTTCGATAAGCTCATGGAGTGTAGAATTAAGGAGGACAATCTCCCATAGGAGAATAGTTGAAAATGTGTCCATCCGTAAGCAGTAAATAACAGTTCAAAAACTCTCCACAACAGCGCTCGAGTAGCTACATGATATATCGCCATAAAATACGTTGAGTGGTTTTGAAAATAAAATTTTGAAAGCAATAAAATAATTATTGTAAAAAGAATTATAGTGAAAGTCTGTGCAATAAAAAATTATAGAAAGTTATTTAAAATTTATACTGTTAGCCTTTTTTTATACAGAGTCTGTACTCATTACCTCTACACTCCACAGATAAGCTGGACGAATGTTTCTCTTCCTAAATTCGTTATATTTCATTTATTATTAGTATATAGTTTTAATACTCCATACTCCCCACGCCGAATAGGCGACTAAGTGAGCGCTAAAGCGATAAACTCGCATTGGTGATGCTACTGCCGGTCTGGAGCATTTGGAGTTCAGCATTTTGGAATGTCTAGAGTGCGATAGTGAGGTCGCTAGAGTTGTTTCTTGATCAGCTAAAGCACCGCGTGCGGATGAGGTTTGCGTTTATTACAACCTGCTTACCACTCGTGGGTAATAGGGAAACCATTCATCATTTTTGCCTTATTACGAAACGTGGTTCATTTATAGTCTTTTAAAACTAAGGTTTCGTGAGTCCATCTCACTTATGAAACCAACATTTTAGTTCTCAAATTTTCCACAGTCTTAGAATAAGGCGGATTTTTTTTTGCGTGGTAGAGCCATGCTGCAGTTATATTAGTTGTAGCTATAGTTGTAGCACGAATGGCTCGGCTCGACCGGGGAAGGACCACGCTCTCACAGAATACCAGCGTCAAATAGTAGCCTAATGTTGCTGTGTTTCGTATGGTGAGTGTAGAGAACCGGAGACTCTTTTTGCTGGAAACGAGGCATTCCATCTTAGTTCTCACGGGTGACAACGCATCTGCATTTTGAATTTTGATCGAGGATAGATGTCGATGTCTATGGGC